AACATACTCCAAAAGGACCCAGCACACATAATTTTTTGTTGTTGTTTTTGATTTGTTTGTTTTTTAATGTTTTCAAATGTAATAATCACGTCTGAAAAAATAAATCAAGGACTATTTTATGCAATAAAAGTGAATTGAATGATTTTTTTTAAATTGCTCTCATAATGCATGCAGTAGAGGGTTAAATCACACTTGCCTCAAACTGTGTGGAGCTGCTAAGTCATCTCTAACAGACTTGCTTATGTTGTTTCTGACACTAAAATCAACAGCAAGAGTCTTGAAGCCTGAATTTTGTTTATGCATCTTAAGTATCAGGATTATATCCGGATTGAGATTATCCGCATTAAAATGCAGGTATGAACGCACTCATTTAAATCAGATTTAAATTGCACTACTCAAACCAGATTAAGAGGTCTGAGATGCATGTTCTACAAATGTAAATGCATCCATCTTATGCGACAACCAATCTCGTGACTCTGCCTCCTGTTGTTCTGCATATAGGGAAGACTCCGCCCACCGGACCGCCACCATTAAACTGAGGCATCGCCGCTCCTTCAGTTCTTGAGTTTCTCCTTTGAGGTTAAATCAGCCTGAGATAGTTAAAATACAGTTGCGGTTTGGCTAATATTTACCTTGTCGTCTTTCAGCTTCTCGCTACAATACGTTGTGTTAGCGTATGTGGTTCATGAATGCCATGACTAACATGAAGCAAATTATTAAGCATTATACAACAGTTAGTTCCGGCCACGCGAGCTGATTGGTTGAGAAGTGTTCTAACTGTGCTGTTATTTCACCATAACATCACGGGTTTTTCACAAACACTGTATCACTCCACTAAGACGCCGTTGCTAAGCAACGACTTTGACAGCTGTAGGAGACGCTGAAGACATTTGAACGTTTTTACTTCTTACTTTGCCACAAACAGAAAACGGACACTTTTAAGATCACATTTGACCGACAGCCGATTTGGTCAGACTCTGAAGACGAGACGACACTAAATTCCCAAACTGTCATCACCACTGAGCAGCTTTTCAGTCGGCAGCTGTGACAGAAGAACAGCTAAACAACCTGGAATCAGCCAGAAATGAACCCAACACCATTCGCCAAACTAAATGGGCTGTAAGATGCTTTACAGACTGGCTGGAACAAAACAACATTAATACTGATCTGGCAAAAACTGACAAAACTGAGCTGAACCTGATATTGCGGCAGTTTTATGGCTCAGTCTGTACTTAAAAAGGCGAAGCTTACAGCAGACTGAGCAGCGAGTGGGCGGAGCTCGTTACTCTGACGTAGCAACAAGCTGCTTGTTAAGGAACTATAATTTGGTGAAGGAACTGTGAACATTAAAACATTCGCCGCGTTCACAGCCCAGTTTATTAATTTATTACTTTATTTATTTAACTGTTGTATTAAAGCAATAGAACACTCGAGGAGTGTGTTATCGCCAATAACATCACAGCTGTGATGATCTACGGCGACCAAATCACAGCCATGATGTTATTTCGCGATAACACACTCCCTCTCGGGCTCCATTGCTTAAGTAAACACTGCAAACTTTGTGTAAAGCTGGTGTGAAAATGAGTAATGTCATACAAAACCATGATTTTTGAGGCAGGAGCTGTCTTTTGAATAGAACAGAAGAAGATGGACCAGCACAGATGATTGGTTGTTGGATATGAGCTGATTTGCATATAACATAATATGTGAGAAGATACATTCAATGACCTGGTGTAAACGGGACACTGTGTCATAAAACCACATAAGCAAGTCTATTAGAGATGACATAACAACCCCACATGGGTGGTGTATTAGGCATGCAGTTAGCACCATGATAATTGGTGGGGTATAAGCTTTCTTCTTGCTGGCTACATCAGCCTCATAGCTCCGGTGCCAAAATGAACGAAGCGAACTTCAGACACCAAATATTTCTTGACAGATTGAGTTTTTTGGGTTTTCCACTAGGTTTTTTTTTACATTTGATTTTTCTCTGAACTACTTCTTTAATGGTAGTTTTAACCACAAAAGTACTGCAGTAAAAATAGAGGAAGAAGCTGCTCTGCATCTTCTTAAGACTCAGAACTGAAGGCCTGACACTGACACACATATGTGGGATCGATTACACGAGTGTAGCGCAACTCTTTCCAACCGAACTCCAGCAGCGTTCAGTTCCAGCCTTAATCTGAAACACCTGATCCAGCTAACGAAGGTCGCGAGGAGCAACTGTATACTAGAACCGGGTTTTCGTCAGATTATGGCTGGACGTGACCTCTTCAGGAACAAAGTCGGACGTGTCTGGCTGAACATTTTCAATTTAATAGCCAGCTTTGGCGCCCCCTGCTGGCGGGACTCAACTTCTACACAAATGGCCTGAACCTTTAGATCTTAAGCATTCCTCTGATTTTTCAAAAACATTTCTCCATAATTCAGAGGTTGAGATGTAGAGTCATTCAGAGTGATTGAATGACAAATGATTAACTGTACAGAAACTTACTGACCATTTCTGACTATAAATTATTTTTTAGCATTTAAAGAGAAAGAAGCCGTTTAGTTTAGGTCTAAACTGTTTGTAGATAACTTTTAACTTTTATCCACTTGTTTTATTTCTTATTATTGTGTAGAATTCCATGGATTTTTCCAAATATCTGCATAATTCAGTCGTTTACAGAGATGTAAACATAGTCAATCGTGATGGTTTAATCTGCAATAGTTCATTGCGGACACTCAGAAAAATTAAATTAAATTAAATTAAATTAAATAGTCATTTTATTTACTATCCAAAACCACCAGTGAACCTACACGAGTTTTTACGTCAGCAAATCTGAAAAAAAATCTCTTCTTTGGGGACTATTTTGCCACAATTTGCATGTATCCCTCCACCATGAATGGATTTTATGGCCAAAATCTTCTCAGCACTATCAGAACAGTGTCTCAGTCATCAGGCAGTGAATTCATAACCATTTCATGTAGGAACTTTCTGTGAGGGAGCTTTTAGAGGTGGACGTCTGGTTCCTATCACCACCACTGTGAACAGTTCTGACTCAGTAAGTTTCTCTAGAACGGAGCGTTTCACACCAAACCACTCTGAACCAGTCTGAACCACTCTGTTTACATCTTAACCAGTTAATTATGCAGAAAAGTTTCCCCTTGATGATGACACTCATTTATTTTGCAATGTGTATGTTCACATATTTAAATTCTCCATCATTGCTCTTAACCAAAATGGGACCATTAAACAGTCTTGCTTTTAAAAGTAAAGCATGCCTCCTAGTGGCTGTATGAGGCATTATCCAATGCAGTCCTCATCTCAGTTTAATGGTAATGGCTATTTGAATCAAATAGTTTAGTGATGTACAGTAGCTAAGCTTGGACAAACTAATTCCCAAAGGATTCTCCTTATTTCTACAACATTTTAGAATAATAATGAAGCTGTTCAAGCTCTGTAAACCCACATATGGAGTAACACACATCAAATCCACTCTTCTGTTTCAGATTCTTCAGTAGCCCCTCCCTTTGCCCTGATGCAGCCTTATACTTTGTGTTCTTTCAAGCAGCTTTGTTTGGGGCCTCCTATGATGTTTTTGCAACAGGACTGAAGAAGATAAAGTTATAAACGCACTGGCTCATCAATTTTTACTGATCTTAGACACTAATTTCAAGCATTTGAGCCTAAGGCCCAGTCCCAGTTCTTATTTTTACCCCTACCCCTTGTTTTCAAGTGTCTTCTTGCCCCTTGGAACTGAGTTATAAGTGGTAGTGGTTGAAATCTTCCCTCTGAAATGGGACCCTCAAATAAAAAGAGCATCACTTCATTAACAGCTACCAGCGCTGCTCTGTAGGCGACCCTGCCAGTCTGCAGTGACAGCAGAGGAGGGTAAAGTTCAGCTCCTCACTGCTGGGCTTTAGTTACATTTAGGGACTCATATGCCTTCAAAGAGGGGGGCAATTATTTATTATCACCCACCCCTAATTCTTCAGTGATATGAAGCTGAAGTCAGATATTCAACAGCTTCTCTGTTTGAATTTTCCCGTTCCACCTTAAATGGAGCAGCAGTTCTGATACCTGAGGCATCAGAATGGGAACGGGAAATTTAGCTTGCTAGCTAATGGGACGTCAGCTACTATTAGCGATTTTTTATGCTTGTTATGAAGAAAAGGACCAAAATACACTGAAACGACATTAAACTAAGATAATACAGTGATTATTGTAATTTTTTATCAGAGAAAATTCTCACATTTGTGGGGTTCTTTGGTCTCTTGTTCTCCATCTTACCGTTTTTTCATTTTTTCTCACATCACTCTGTTTGGAGTCTCTGAAAAACCTCGGTTTGGATGGTCTTGTAGCCCAAACACTTCACCCTCCCCCTCTATTTTAACAAAAATTAGACGTGAACATGCAAAACCCAGGGGTAGGGCTGAGTGGTAGGGGCGAGGGGTGAAATGGGACTGGGTGGCTATTTTTACGATAGGTAGGTGCAAACTTCAGACTAGTGCTGTAAACTGTACCACCTTAAAATGGACTTTTTAAAATTTCTGCATAATTCATGTAAACAGAGTCGTTCAGAGTGGTTTGGTGTGAAACATTCCGTTCTAGAGAAACTTGCTGAGTCAGAATTGTTCAGTGGTGGTGATAGGAACCAGACGTCCACCTCTAAAAGCTCCCTCACAGAAAGTTCCTACATGAAATGGTTATGAATTCACTGCCTGATGACTGAGACACTGTTTTATGATAGCTTTGAGAAGATTTTGGCCTAAAACGTAATTTTAAAATCAATTTGTGGTGGAGGGATACATGCACTGTGAAAAGTTCCCAAAGATTTTACCATTAAAACTCCTGTAGGTTCACTGGTGGTTTTGGATAGTAGATAAAAGGCGATGTTTGTGCTGTAGAGTCTCTACAATTAACCACTTCACAACCACTCTGAACGACTTTGTTTACATCTCAACCACTGAATTCTGAACATTTAACATTATTCAAACTAAAGAAAGATCACAAACACTTAGACTGCACTGCACTTTTATTGGTCCTCAGATTACAGAAGCACCATAGCAACAGTTCTTTGTTAAATTAACAACAATCTTTCAGGTACAATATGAAAACAGGTTCAACAGTCCAGAACCAGAGCTACAGAATGAATGACCGGCTGGTCTTAAGGTTTCTTGAACAGAATGAGGTAGCAGCCTGTAGCGCTTGCTAAATTGAGCTTTTCTGCTTCTTTACACGATTAAATACACAGCATTCATTAGTTTTAAACCTTTCAAAATTAATATGTTCACATTCAGAGATGAGCTGGTGGAACTCTGAGAAGCTGGAATGCAAAACCTCAGTTTTACTTCATATTTATGTGTTTTTATGTTACACTGTAATGTAAAAAAAGTTTCAACATTTAATATCTTTGTATTATTTTTAATACAATATACAATCATAAAAAGATGGTTCTTCAAAAGGCCTTTAGTAAAGAAAATGGTTCTGTATAGAATCAGGAACACTTCAAGAACCCTTTACGTGATTAAAGGGTTCTTTGCACCATGAAAGCGTCCGTCAGATTGATGGAGAATGTGCTGTAGATGGTCCTAAATCGAGCTTTTTTGAAAAATATATATGTATGTATGTAGCTTTTTTGAAATATATATATATACATACATATATACATATATATACACACACCAAACGCTACTCGAAAGTTTTCATTTTGTGAATTTTTTAATAAATACATAAAGAGAACCCAGTTAAACTAATAACACAAAAAGTCTATAGTTTTTCATTCCTTTATTGAACATAATAATTTAACATTAAATGTCTTTGTTATAGTATGTGAACCTCTGCCCTGGACACTGACTTGGACAAATCTTGGCCTGCACCTCCTTACAGAACTGCTTCAACTCTGTGGAGCTGGTGGGCTTTGTTGCATGAATGCCACAGCTTTGGTTCTGCCTCAACATTTCTATTGGATTAAGAGCTGGACTTCTGTTGAGGTTCTGTTCATGGATGGATGCCTTAACATTCATCTGTAGAATTTCTTGTTACAATCCAAAATTCAGAGCTCCATCAAATGACGCCAAGCTGTTCTACTCCAATAGCAGGAAAACAGCCCCAAACTGTGATACTGCCACCACCATGTTTCAAAGTTCTTATGCTGGAATGCAGTGTTCAGTTTTGCCAAACACTGCCATTATTTCAGTGGTCTTCTGGCTCATCCAGGTGGTCTTTAGGAAACTTTAAACAGGCAACAAAGTTCTTACTGGAGAGTAGTGGATTTCTTAATGCTATCATTCCATTTATACTATTCCTCCCCAATGTTTGCCGGATGGTGGCTCATGAACACGAACACTGGACAGTGTAAGAGAGGCCTGCAGAGCCTTAGCTGTTACCCTAGGGTTCTTTGTGATCTCCCAGAACTTCCAGCCTAATAAGCACAGGCAAATCATTTTCAGAGGTTCTCAGCAATCTCCCTCTGACTGTCATACAACTGATTGAACCTGCTGACTCTAATTATCGCCTATACCAAACTGACCATTCTAGAGGTTCACAACAAAGACATTTAGTGTTGGATCACTTTGTTCAATAAATGGATGAAAAACTACATAATTATTTGTGTTATTTGCTTTATTGGATTCTCTTCATCTACTGTTATGACTTAAAATGATGTAGCAATCACAAACTTTCAGGCAGCACTGTATTCCTGTAATTCTGTTATTAGGAAATTGAATTAATAAACAAAATTGATCCTCAAAATTCAACATCGACATGTTTCTTCTTTATGGTCCTTCATCTTTTTTTTAAACTTTTTCTCATTAAACTTAAATTGATAAATGCCCTTGAATCTTCCATATTTATTTAAAATATAATATTTAGTGTTGTTCTTCAGAGTCACAGAAAAAAAGCTAGGAAATAATTCACCATATAAATTACACACTACTTGCAGTAATAACAAAACTGGCTGCTGTTTCTTTTACTTAAATTAGGAAAATGTGATTTTTTGCTGAAATATGGTTTTAAACCTATAATATCCCTTACTGTGTGTGTGCTGTGATGTTGGTCTCGGTGCAGGAGCAGAAGGGGAACGTTCCACAGCACGGCTGCAGCCACGGCTTCCACAGGATGTTTGCCCAGGACAGCTGCTTCTCCACCGGACTCAGAGTTTTTTGGTGTTCCTCCACGGCCTGCCGGACCCTCCACAGCACCTCAGCGTGGCGGGGCTCCGTCACGGCTGTTAGCGGGATGCTCTCTGAAGGGTCCCGGGACAAGTCGAACATCAGTGGAGGGTCGTGGTGGGTGACGAAATCACCGTGGCACAAACACACCTTGGTGTGGTAGCAGCCTCCGGCTCCAGGGGGCGAGAAGTTTGGAGTGAAGAAATGGACTTTAAAGATGGAGTCACCTGAGGAGAACATACAAGATTAGGGCTGGGCAATATTGCAAAAACTGTATTGTGATATTTTTCCATATCATTCGGTATCAATAATGATCACTAATTACTATATTTATTTTTAAACACTAAAGAAAACAAAAAGCTTATTTCTTCATTACAGGGCTGTGGCATGCGCCCCGATACCCCGGGCCCCGATGACAGCCGCAAGAGCCTGCAGGAAGGCGGGGCCCTGAACACCGAGCAGTGACCAAACCCAGGCAAGGACGGCGGGGAGAGAGCCGTGAGTGAGTGGGGGACAGCGCGCAAATCCCAACCACTGCCGAGGGACGTGAGTGGGAGGAGGACGTCAGTCACGAGAGAGGAGACGACGACGATGACAGTAATGAGAGGCACAAAAGCAAGAAGCGAGTCCCGAACTCCGCCCGGGCCCTGCCCCCTGCCCCCTGCCCCCTGCCCCCTGTTCCGCAGCGAGCCTGCTTCACTCCACCTCATGTTCGCTCCAGGTGTACGAGCTGCAGCACGGGACGGTGATGAGGAGGCGGAGCAACAAGCTCTCGTTCCCTCTCGGCTCAGGAGCTCACGCTGCCCTTACTGACAGCCAGCTGAGGCTGATCTGGCTGGCAGAGTGAGAGCCTTTTACAGCCAATGGAAGAGCAGGAAAGCTTAGTTGGAGAAAAGCACTGAAAAGTCTGTAGTTCTGAAGCCGCTGAAAAGTGGACAGCGTACGTTTGGTTTTGTTTCATTTGTTGTGTTTACTTTGTGAGTTTGGAGTGAATATTAAAGTAAAATGGCTGCTGAACCCCGAATCCTGCCTCCAGCGTCTTCCTTGAGCCTGGGGTAGCGCATGACGTGAATATGTAGGGCCTTCTTATTCAACGTTTCATATGTAATACCTTTAAAACTGTTTAACAGTTAACAAAATTAGGAATTAAAAGATAAACAAGAATAAAAGGGCTTTACTCTACCTTTACTCTGAATAATTTAAACTCTGAAAATAACTAATACAAGCTAACTCTGCCAACTGTCCTGCTGGTTTATGCTGTTGTGAGTCAAGGGTTAGACTTCTTCTCCCTTCCCATCTAGAGAGCAAAGGGCACACAGCGACACTTAGTGTAGTGAAGAAGCAACTGTTCAAAGTTGTTGTTGAAAATAACTCCAAACATGTAAAATCATTATTGAAAAAATCTTTGATGATTATTGTTGTTTTTCTTCTTGGCATTTTTCCCAATTTAGTAACGTCCAATTCCACTCACTAGCTTGGTTCCCCTAGCTAGCAAGTTAAGACTCTACTACGAAAAGCCGAAGCCACATATCAACAAAATCTAGAAACGCCGCCGATTTCTCTGGGCTAAAGCTCTTCTGAGATGGTCTGACGCAAAGCAGAAATGTGTGCGGTGGTCTGACGAGTCCACCTTTCAAATTATATTTGGAAATAATGTATGTCATGTTCTCTGGGCCAAAGAGGAAAAGGGCCATCCCGATTGTCATCAACTCAAAGTTCAAAAGACTGTGCCTGTCACTGTATGCGGGAGTGTTGAAGCCAATTGCATGTGTAACTTGCACATCTGTGAAGGCACCCTTGATGCCACGGGGATATTTTGATGCATTTTGGAGCACCTTTTCATGCCATTAAGGTGGCATCTTTTTCAGGAATGTTCTTGCTTGTTGCAGTAAGACAATGCCAAGTCACACTTTGCACATGTTACAACAGTGTGGCTTCGTAGGAAGAGAAAGCAGGTGCTACACTGGCCTGCCTGCCGTCCAGACCTGCCACCCCTTGAAACAGCAATGAAGCAAAATATACTGAATGGGAAACAACTACAACAGTTGTTGTCCTCAGATCCCAAACAATTACTGAACATTGTTAAAAGGCAAGGAGATGTGACACAATGGTAAACATGTCACAAGTTTTTGGAACATGTAGCATCAAATTAAGAATAAGCATATATACAAAAAAATCGACTTAATTAGCTGAAACAGTAAATATCATGTCTTTGTACTGTTTTCAATTCAATACAAGTCAAAAAGGATTTGCAATCATTGTTGTCTGTTTTTATTTACATTTTTCAAATTGTACCAACTTTTTTAAAATTGGGTTTGTCAATAAAGTACATAAAGGACTGTTGGGTTTCCAGTTGGTACAGATGTGTTTTGGTTTTAGAGAGTAATTTAGAAGTAATGAGTATTTTCAGGAAGTAATCAGTAAAGTAATCCCATTACTGTTTGAGAAAAACAACAAGTAATTTGTGATTAATTACTTACTTGAGTTACTACCCCAACATTGGAGGCTTAAGAGTGAGAGTGGCTTCTACAACAAGATACAGAACAGTAGTACTCACTGCCGGGGGGATGCCAGCGTGCGGCGTTGAGGTAAATCCCGCAGTAATGCAACATGAACTCGTGTTCTGAGCGCTCTGTCTTCCCCTCTAACAGCGGCATCAGATCATGACCATCCAAAACTCTGAACACAAAAACACCATCACTGACTTTTCAGTTCAGTACTAGACCAACACACCACATTCAGTGTGCTTTAGTACTTTAAAGGATCTTTTTTCCATATTTTTCTTGTATTTTGTTTTTTCCTTTAGGTCCACTTATAACATTTGTGTGGTTTTATGTACCAAAAACTAAATTCTTAATTCATTTCTACATGATCAATTTCCTACCTCTTTTTATCCCTTAGAATTAAACAGGCTGTTTTTGGTACTGTGCCTTTAAGACTGATGTATGTAAATGAGCTCAGTTCTGATTGGCTGCCCTCAGGCAAAAGCAGTGCAGGTGTAACAAACTTAAGTTGGGACTGAAATTCTCAGGGCCATGGAGGAAAAACAGACTTCAGCCACTCCTTTCGAATGCGTGGATCCCTTAGAAACTGCAGTGATTCATTTGCTTTCTGACAGCCAGGAACAGCACAACGTTTAATCAATTTCCCACAGTTTCCACTGCAATAACTCAGCGGCTGTCTGCAGAAACAACACTCCATATCACTTCAATGGGAATGGGTGGGGCTAAACTGCTGTAGGCTGAATGGGTGGAGCTAAACTGCAATAGGCTGAATAAGCAGAGCTGAAGTGCTATAGGCTGAATAAGTAGAGCTGAACTGCTATAGGCTGAATAAGCAGAGCTGAACTGCTATAGGCTGAATAAGCAGAGCTGAACTGCTATAGGCTGAATGGGTGGAGCTAAACTGCTATAGGCTGAATAAGCGGAGCTAAACTGCTATAGGCTGAATAAGCGGAGCTGAACTGCTATAGGCTGAGTAAGCGGAGCTAAACTGCTATAGGCTGAGTTAGCGGAGCTGAACTGCTATAGGCTGAGTTAGCGGAGCTGAACTGCTATAGGCTGAGTAAGCGGAGCTAAACTGCTATAGGCTGAGTTAGCGGAGCTGAACTGCTATAGGCTGAGTAAGCGGAGCTGAACTGCTATAGGCTGAGTAAGCGGAGCTAAACTGCTATAGGCTGAGTAAGCGGAGCTGAACTGCTATAGGCTGAGTTAGCGGAGCTGAACTGCTATAGGCTGAGTAAGCGGAGCTAAACTGCTATAGGCTGAGTAAGCGGAGCTAAACTGCTATAGGCTGAGTAAGCGGAGCTAAACTGCTATAGGCTGAGTTAGCGGAGCTGAACTGCTATAGGCTGAATAAGCGGAGCTAAACTGCTATAGGCTGAGTAAGCGGAGCTGAACTGCTATAGGCTGAGTAAGCGGAGCTAAACTGCTATAGGCTGAGTAAGCGGAGCTAAACTGCTATAGGCTGAATAAGCAGAGCTGAACTGCTATAGGCTGAGTAAGCAGAGCTAAACTACTATAGGCTGAATGGGTGGGGCTAAACTACTATAGGCTGAATGGGTGGGGCTAAACTGCTATAGGCTGAATGGGTGGGGCTAAACTGTTATAAGCTGAATGGGTGGGGCTAAACTGTTATAGGCTGAATGAATGAGCTAAACTGATGCAGGATGAATGACCAGTACTGGGGGTGATCTTATGCAGATGTGTTGTCACAGCCATGATAAATTCAAAACAGCCTTTCATAGCAGCTTAGTTTCCATACATGAACTGTATGAACTAGGATACTTTTGAAACAATGTTTACATAATACATCATACTCTTATTTTAACAAAATGCAAGGTAACTTTAAATGATAATCTGATGATGATGATGCAGCAGAAATTTCTCTCACCTGTCCTGGGGCAGCTGTCCTCCTGCTAGCTTCACCACAGTGGGGTACACATCCATCAGACTTGTGGGCTCGTCCACAACCCGGCCTGCGGGCAGACGACCTGACCAGCGGAATATTCCAGGCACGCGAATGCCTCCCTCCCAGCCCCCCATGGCTTTACCACCTGCAGAAGCAAGAGCAAAATCCACAGGTCAGACACTTTCAGTGAGCAGCATTCAAAAAGCAGCAGAACAGACCTGATTGTACACTGATCAGGCATAACATTATGACCACCTCCTTGTTTCTATGCTCATTGTCCATTTTATCAGCTCCACTTACTATATAGGAGCACTTTGTAGTTCTACAGTTACAGACTGTAGTCCATCTGTTTCTCTGATACTTTGTTAGCCCCCTTTTACCCTGTTCTTCAGTGGTCAGGACCCCCATGGACCCTCACAGAGCAGGTACTATTTGGGTGGTGGGTCATTCTCAGCACTGCAGTAACACTGACGTGGTGGTGGTGTGTTAGTGTGTGTTGTGCTGGTACGAGTGGATCAGACACAGCAGTGCTGCTGGAGTTTTAAACACTGTGTCCACTCACTGTCCACTCTGTTAGACACTCCTACCTTGTCAGTCCACCTTGTAGATGTAATAGCTCATCTGCTGCTGCACAGTTTATGTCGGTCATCTTCTAGTCCTTCACCAGTGGTCACAGGACGCTGCGCACAGGACGCTGCTGGCTGGATATTTTTGGTTGGTGGACTATTCTCAGTCCAGCAGTGACACTGAGGTGTTTAAAAACTCCAGCAGCACTGCTGACAGGCCACCAAAGAGACTTTCCTGCAGGGTAGTGGCAGGACCCTCCTACCCACCCAGAGAGAGAGGACAGTTATGATCTCTTGGACGCCTGGTTACAGATGGCTGTGGCATCACTGGGAATCAAACTCATGACCTCCCGATTTAATGGGATTTTCACCAGCGCTCTGTTAAACTGGTCCAACTGTAGCTATGAAAGAATATGTTTGTGGGTGGAGCATGGAGAGGACAACTGTCCTGTGTCCTTCTAGAAATATAGCCAGTGAGCTTAGAAAAGCATAATTTGACCTATGCCAATGGAGGAAAGACGAGCATGTGTGTGTGAAAGAACCTGTGGTGAACCTGCTGGTTCAGTTTATTTATAAATCTCAGCAACTTTACATTTAATTAACGTAAATGGGTTATAAATGAATCTAAGCGCAGCACTGTATAAATAAGGCAATGGATATCTGGACTGAAAAAGAATGCATTAATGTCTAAAAGAATTTCTGGAATTTGCAGAACCCTCCAGGGCTTCTTGTTGCCAGATGACCTGAACTGAGGTTTTATTCCTGCAAGGGTTCTTCACCTCGATAGATGCCGTTCCAGCCTCCTCTCTGCCCGCGTTCATTGGAATCTTCTAAGTGACCGCCGTGATCCGAGGTGAAGTACATCAGAGTCCGGTCAGCGAGGTTGAGCCTATCTATAGTCTTCACCATCCTGCCTGAGAGAGAGAAGTCATAAGGTAGCATCAACAGGATATTCGTTTACTGAAAGACTTTTATTTATTATTTACTAAGACCAGACCGAAATAATCAATATTGATATATTACGAATATAAATCCGCCAATAAAGCAATGATATTTAGCAGCATGTTTTATATTGTAATGAAAAGCTGTTGATTGCCACAGATTAAATAGCTTCATGCAGGCCTTTATTAGAGATGTTTTCAATAAATGGGATGGCAATCAGGTGTGAGTGCTCAAAAATGGGCGGGGCACTGCAGTGACCTACGGGTTTGGAGGTGGAGCTGCGAGGGAAACCAGGTGGGCTGGGCTGCTGTGTTTTATGTTAGCTATCAGAAAATATGGAGAGAGACAGAATCAAACGGCACTTTTGCAACTGAGAGTCTTACGAGGCCGACGATTTTTATCTACCATCCCCATCTTCACCGAGGGAAGGTGTTTCTGATCAGGCAGTGCGTCTTGTGTTCACAGCTGATACAGACAGCTGGCATATCGCAGCCTTGTGAGGTGGTGCTGGGGGTGTTAAGCTCAGCGTGAGTGTGGTTATCTCCTCACTCTCGGCTCCTATGCTTCATATTTATGAGCGCAGCACGAGTAGGGCGTCATCAGGGGGCGATACCGATCAGGCATAACATTATGACCACCTCCTTGTTTCTACATTCATTGTCCATTTTATCAGCTCCACTTACTGTATAGGTGCACTTTGTAGTTCTACAGTTACAGACTGTAGTCCATCTGTTTCTCTGATACTTTGTTAGCCCCCTTTTACCCTGTTCTTCAGTGGTCAGGACCCCCATGGACCCTCACAGAGCAGGTACTATTTGGGTGGTGGATCATTCTCAGCACTGCAGTAACACTGACGTGGTGGTGGTGTGTTAGTGTGTGTTGTGCTGGTCTGAGTGGATCAGACACAGCAGTGCTGCTGGAGTTTTTGAACACCTCAGTGTCGCTGCTGGACTGAGAATAGTCCACCAACCATAAAATATCCAGCCAACAGTGTCCTGTGGGCAGCGTCCTGTGACCACTGATGAAGGACTAGAGGATGACCGACACAAACTGTGCAGCAGCAGATGAGCTATCGTCTCTGACTTTACATCTACAAGATGGACTGACAAGGTAGGAGTGTCTAATAGAGTGGACAGTGAGTGGACACAGTGTTTAAAAACTCCAGCAGCACTGCTGTGTCTGATCCACTCAGACCAGCACAACACACACCAACACACCACCACCACTCAGTGTTACTGCTGTGCTGAGAATGACCCACCACCCAAATAGTACCTGCTCTGTGAGGGTCCATGGGGGTCCTGACCACTGAAGAACAGGGTAAAAGGGGGCTAACAAAGTATCAGAGAAACAGATGGACTACAGTCTGTAACTGTAGAACTACAAAGTGCACCTATATAGTAAGTGGAGCTAAAAATGGACAATGAGCGTAGAAACAAGGAGGTGGTCATAATGTTATGCCTGATCGGTGTATGCGATATATTTTATTATTACAGAGCAGTGCATTTCAGCTGTTAACGAAAAAAAAGGTCTTAAGGTGGAGTTACTCTTTAAAACCAAATCAGCCCCTGGTTCAGATCACGGCAGCAGATCTTTCTTACCGATCATCGAATCCATCTCCTCCACGTTGTCTCCGTACAGGCCATGTTTGCTCTTCCCGAAAAACTCTCTGGAAATGAAGTGTGGCGTGTGGACGTGTGCCAGCGACAGGAACAGCAGAAAGGGCCTGTTCTGGTTCCTGAGGTCATAAATCAGATTATGCATTATCATCATCATCATCATCATCATCGTCAACGGCATTTTTATTATTATTACTTAATGGGTGGATCGGAGTTGCTGTGTTCTTCGGGGCGAAGAGCGAAGGGGAAAACATAGTGTGGGAAAGTGATGGATCTTTCCATTCATAGAGTTTACAATGAAAGAGAAGTTTATTTGTCATGACACGTCCCAGCACTGAGCGCAGCAGGTGTGATTTAACTGTGCAGGCATGATTTTATTTGATCTGATGAGCGTTACAGCCGTGAGAGACCTGCTCTGACACCGGCTTTGTGTTTCTGCTTTCACCTTATGACTCAACCAGTGAGTCACTTTCATGCCCCTGAGCCTTTTTACACCTTAAAGGGGAATTCCACTGACTTCTGAAAAATTCTCTGCATATCTCAGTTGAGATGTAAACAAAGTCATTCAGAGTGGTTTGATGGGAAACTGTGAGACTCAGATTTCTTTACAGTGGTGGTGACAGGAACCATATATGAACCTTTTTGAAAAGGGTTCTATATAGCACCAAAAAGCTTTCTACTATTGTTACAAGCCAAAGAACCCATTTTTGGTACTATATAGAACCCTTTTCAAAAAGATTCTGCATAGCCCCATTTTGAAAAGTGTTCCGTATAGCACCTAAAAGGGTTCTACTATTGTTACAAGCCAAAGAACACTTTTTTGGTACAATAGAGAACCTTTTTTGCTAAGAGTGTAGCTGCATTTCTCTCAAGGGTACACTTTAAAAAGAGATGGTTCTCCAAGGGTTCTTCAGACAAGAAAATGGTTCTATATAGAACCATGAACACTCAAAGAACCTTTTGCACGAGTTAAGGGTTCTTTGCATCATGAAAGGGTTCTTCAAATTGATGGAGAATGTGCTTTTTTAAGAGTTCTATTTAGCACCAAAAAGGGTTCTACTATTCCTATAAGGCAAAAAATATATTTTTTATATAGAACTTTTTGATAAGAGTGGAGCTTTTATATGGAGAGCCAGCAACTTAGCTTGCTTGATTTGACTTGACTTCATGCTACACCCTTGTCAATATGGGTTCTACATAGCACCAAAAAAAGGATCTTTGGCCTGTGAGAATAGTGGAACCTTTTTTGGTTCTATATAGAACCCCTTCTAAAAAACGTTCTATATAGAACCACCTACAGCACATTCTCTATCAATCTGAAGAACCATTTAATGATGCAAAGAACCGTTTATTCATGCCAAGGGTCCTTTGAGTGTTCATGGTTCTATATAGAACCATTAACTAAGAAACGCTTTACTAAAGAACCCTTAAAGAACCATCTTTTTTTAAGAGTGTACACCTACGCAGAATTCGCGTGCTACACTGATGCTCTCAATATTCTGTGCCGTTTTCTTTACTAAAGAACCCTTGAAGAACCATCTTTTTCAAGCGTGTATCATAAAAAATGGCTAATGCTCAATTCCCATGAGATGCAGAGTGACCTCACCTCTCCACGAACTGTTCGGCCTCCTGTATAAGCTTTTCGGGCAGCGCATCCGGCTCCATCGGCTGCTCCACCACTTGCTCGTTGCGCATGATGATGCAGTTCCACGTTTGCAGGAACTCAAAAGGTACGTACCACACCGTGAAGCCCAGCAGGCAGACAGCCGTCAAAAACACCAGCAGCTTCACACTGACCTCCAACAATCCAGTGACCCGCACCAGGACCAGGGTCAGCAGGCCCAGGCCCACCAGCATGGACATCTGCCACAGTGTCTTCTGCAGGTCAGCCAGAACATCTTTGCCCTCTCCAGGCTTACAGTCGTTGAAATAAGTGAAGGGGAGCCCATAGAAGTAGTCAAAGCCGTGGTTGTTCGGGTGGTGGCAGTGGTCATTCCTGCTCCTGCAGCTCACGCCCAGGTGCCACTTTCCTACCGAGAAGATCCAGATCCAGCAGTGAAACCTAAGGGGATGATGATGGAATGTGCTCCCACCTTTCAATTTTTCAAATTCACCCCAACATACTGCTAAAATACAACGAATAGACGAATGGAGCTGCGGTTTTATTCTGTAGTCAGCATTATGCCCATATAAGGATCTAAGCTGTTTATCTCTATGGGAAAAATGAATGTTATCACACCCTGTGGTGAACAAAAATGATGTATTTTGCCCTGCGTACATTTTTCCCACAAATATCCAATCTGAATTTTGAGGTCATTGAGGAGTCAAAATGCAAATAATGCTACATTGTACCAACATCATAAAAGCCCATTCACAAAAAGTACATGGTCGTTGATGTGTTAATGACGCCTTTAGAGGGCAGCGCTGAGCGACGTTTATTTGATGGTTGCTAATGACGTCTTTAGAGGGCAGCGCTGAGCGACGGTATCCCATTTCTACCATGCCAATATTACATTAACAGTTAGGTTTAACAGCAACAACCCCAGAACAAACTGCTAACAGGAACACGAGTCAGTGCTGTCTTACCTATGAGGCCTGTAGTGTATCCCTGCTTCTGCAGGAGTTTAGCAAACGTGGTCTCGTTGGGGGGAAGTCCTCCTGAACCCCCGACGAACATGATCACCTGCACTCTTCCTGTGCTGCCCAAGCCTAAAAACACAAACCCAAACATGCCAGCCTGATGAACCACACTGCATGCATGCCTTACTTGCTCAGTCACTGAGTAGGTCAAGGCTGGGAGCTCAGTAGATTCTGGTGTTAGAGAACTGAATACTGGATATAATATGTCCAGCGTTTCTTCTGAAATGATGGGTATTAATAGTGAGCAGTCTCCACTCTTCTGGGAAGGCTTTACACTGGATGTTGGAACATTGCTGTGAGGATTTGATGGAGCATTAGTGAGGTCAGGCGCTGATGTTGGATGGTCAGTTCTAGATCACTACAACTCATCCCAAAGTTATTGGATGGAGCTCCATCACTCCAGAGAACACAGTTCCACTGCTCCACAGTCCAATGCGGGGGGGCTTTAGACCCCTTTAGCCCACGCTTGGCACTGGGCATGGTGAACTTAGGCTCATGTGCAGCTGCAGTCCAGAACATCCCATGCTGTTGGTCAATGATTTTTTGAAGCTGTGAGTAAATAAGTAGCTAAATTCACTCATTAGAAGGACTGTTTGGGTGCTTATGGACAGAGCAGATAAACTCAGCTCTCAGTTCAGAGTACGACGGCCAAACGTGTCTAACGTGTTCTAAGACCATTCAGAGATCATTCAGTGACTGATCTATTATTTTTTAGGGTAAATGTTTTAAAGCAACATTTGAACTGCATGTCGCTGCTGTCGGAACAAAACCTTATATCTCCAAAATGGTAACTTTACAGGAGAAGAAAAAGCCTACTTTACTTTTATGTAAGTCAGTGGAACCAGAATTTTTTCCAAGTAATTTTGGGACGTTTCTTTTGGTCCATTCATCATGAAATTTACCCACATTATACAGGACAACAGGCACTTTAAAATGATGTCAGAAACTGAAAAATGACGAAAATGGAGATCGGAGGTTTTGTTCTGACAGCAGCGATTAGCTTTTGGCATGGTTTCCATGGAAACTGTATAGATAAACCCATTTCAGTGTAAGATTCCCAGAAGCACTGGACCCCAACAAAAGATTCTGAGAAGGTTGAATGAGTATTATTTTGAACATCCATGGAACATCCAGGAAACCGGAGTACCCGGAGGAAACCCACGCAGACACGGGGAGATTTATTAATTTTAACTGCAGATGATTCCTCCGAAAGAAGTCTTTGTTTTATCTAATGAACTCTTCACCTCACTACAGAGCTGTGGACCGGGCCAACCGAATTCCAGAAATACTTTGTCCTTACGTTTACATATTTAGATATTTTTTATTTTTTTATTTGACAAACGCTCAAACAGGCTTATCCTTAAAGATTAACCAAATATTTTTATCCAGAGGCAGACGAACGTAATGTCAGAAGTGAGTCTTATCGGTACCTGGAATGAAAATTTTGGCAAATTCCTTTGACTGTTATTAGTCAGTGACCAATCATTAACCAGTAAACCAACAATCACAGACATAAACGCTGAAAACATCAAGCACAGCACTGCACTCTACTTAAACAAGGTTTCACTAAACTGAAAACTCTAACACATATTATTAGCCCAAGCTGACAAACAAACATGGCCTGACCACAGCTAGCTTGAAGTTCATATGCACAGTTTAAACGATCAACATAAAGGTTTTTTTTGTCATGAGACTAACTATACAGGCTAACCAGTGGTGGACAGTTGCGAAATGTAATTTGTTACTATACTTAAGTAGTTCTTTCATGTATTTTGGGCGACTTTTTCCTTTCACTCCACTACATTTCAAAGTCTAATATCTCACTTTTTACTCTGCTACATTATGAGAAATCCGTCGTTCCTTTTGGTTTATGAGTGTATAAAAACGTAACATGTCAAAACGCAAAGCAAGAACACCAATCAGGGCACAGCGGTCACTTTGTTTTGAGCTTGTTTTGACCTGTTGGTCATACCGACCCAGCGCAGCACACGGTTCAACATCAGTGCAGCAGCGTAAAATTTTGGGAGAGTCTATTCAACATAAATGATGAACTAACCTAACTTTGTGTAAATAGACCACAATATAGAAATATGTACTCATATGCAGTTGTGACTGACGGGTCTTTATTCTGAATTTATACAAACACGATTTCATTTTATAGTAAATTAGTTTTGTCTAGTTTATGTTTATGAACAGAGACCTACAGATGCAGTTTAGTAAAGGAAACTCATTTGTGAATCTGAGTTTAAAGTTTTTATTAAACTTAAACTTGTAACTAAGTTCAAATAAATCTTAAACTGAAACTTTGCTTGTTTGTAAAAAGTGATTTCAGAGCCACTCAGTTCTACCTGATGGAAACTGTTTGACTTCAGTGTTTTGTGCTTATGATAATTTTAATAGACATCAGCGTCACTAATTAATGACCTTCTATTAAAAGACTGGTTTACCAAGAGAGACACTGGAGTATTTTTACCTAAAATGAGTTAATGAAGCGAGTCTTGTTATTAAAATGATAATAGGACATCAGAGCCATAATTAATCTTTCAGTACTTTTATTTTTGATACTTAAGTACATTTGAGGGAAAATACTTTAGTACTTTTACTCAAGTGGAGGTCTAAAGGGAGGAACTTCTACTTTTACTGGAGTAATATTTTACCTTGGGTCTCTCTACTTTAACTCGAGTACATGGTTCGTGTACTTTGTCCACCACTGCCATTAGCTAACAAACACTTTAGCAGGCTACAGCCTGAGGCTACACGCAACTAAAGCAACAAGTACTCAAGGGGGCAATAGAGGTCAGAATGGGACCTAATGTCATTGAACAGCCGAAGAGTGTTAGGTGCTTTACCTGTTCTCAGAATAAGGAGGTGATGATGTTATATATATATATATATATATATATATATATATATATATATATATATATATATATATATCAACCAGGAGTTGGACAAAAATTGTTTGCTTGCATAAACATCTCTCTTCCGCTGTCTCTTCATATATATACACACACACAATTATTACACTATATCAACACTATTTTTAAACCCCAAATTTCATGCAATTTTACCGGCTCTATTTTTGTCCCCTGCTTAACCCGCACTGCTTTCGGGGAACTGGGCCTCAGGTCAGAACTGGGCCTCAGGTCTCTCAGAAGACCGGCAGTGCTTAAAATGAGTGAAGCGGAAAAAGTCAGATCGATGCCCACCTGAGCGCAAAGCGTAGCGGCCGGTGAGGAACGCGGCCCTGCTGGGGGTGCACAGCGGAGCAGCAGCGATGTGCTGGGTCAGCTTGACCCCGTCCAGCGCCAGCCTGTCGATGTTTGGGGTTCTGGGGACGAATCAGAGAGACTCACGGTCACCCGAGGCTCAAAAGAGACAAAAATGAGTGCGGTTTGTTCACCTGATCGTATCGTTCCCATAGCAGCCGACATCTCCTATGCCCAGGTCATCGGCCATCATGAGCACAAAGTTGGGTTTGGTGACATCTCCAGCGCTTGCGGGACACTGGCTTTGGGTGATCAGGAGAAATAATCCAAACAAATGTGACCTAGAACAAAAAACAACATTCAAAATGATCTGCCTCCACTATGATTACACAGTATAAGGGCAATCTGAAGAGAGGTTTGAATGGTTTGTCAGCTGACCATGAGCAGAGGAAAAATGAGTTTGTGCAATTAACAACAGAATAAACTTTGTCATATGGATGAAAAGAACCTCTGTGTCATCATTTCAGCGCTGCTGACTGACGTTAATGTGCAGTTTGTGCTTTAAAGTTGCTGCTGCAGCCGCTTTCAGAGGAACAGTTTCCATTTTCTCCCTCAAAAGCTGTCAGTATTCGAGAGAGCGAGCGCTCAGCGGGAAGCAGATGTTAATTCGATGTTTGTATAAAATGTCTACAGTGGCGCTGATGACCCGGCGGCGCCCTCTGCTGGCATGTGTGCATGTTTAGCTTTTTGCCAACTAGTTTATTGTTATAGTTATTATATTATATTATATATCCACGGATTTATCACTCAGTAGACGTTAGCTGACGTTAACTGTGCTCTGACAGCTGTGAAGGAATTTTTCCACAAATCATTTACATCCTTTATTTAGTTTGGCTCCACATTGTTGTGTGTTTGGTTCTCCACCAGTTCTGGACTCATCCTCCAATTTCAATCTTGGCAACTATACAGATACAGTGACTCACCTTTCTGTGGTGGCTGAAGTGACACAAATGCCAGTGTTTCTGATGGTTAGTAACTGTCTGTAAGGCGATAGTGGGAACCTACACTGTGAAAAGGGTCTAACCTGACTGCTAGCCTGGTCACTGAGCTACAGGCTAATCAATACGTAACTCTTACCCCAGTCTTTGCACTCGGTCATAAAGAAAATAGCGATTTTACCTTCATTCGGCACAAAATACACACCAGAGATGAGTTTTTCTGTCCTTTCAGTCAGAAAAAGAAGCCAAACTGAGGTAAGACAAAGACAGCCAGCTAACGTAACGTTAGCTTTTAGATCGTCATCTGCTGAGTTGTTTCAGAGTCATTTAAGTAATCCATTCTCTCCATCGTAAAGATGACAGATACTACAGTTATACAGCCACAAGCAGTAACATTTAGGCCTGTCAATAATTACATAACTGCCTGATCGCAATTGTTTGAGATAATCACGGTTATTTAATCTGACCGCAACTATTTTCATTAGATTCCACTAACACACTGTTTCGCAACAAGCACTACGTGAGCCAGATGCTCTTCCATTCGTCGGCCAAATAAATGTAAATGACCCAAAACACATTTAGGGGGAATGTTTGTTAATTTGACAGTTATTATAGTTAATGCTAATTTTATCATGTGCGCTTGGAGAACGAGTGTTTTTTGCTCAAACGTGGAGAGTTGTTATCAACTAAAATGTCACAATCATGACAGACCTTGCAATGTTAGTCGCCTACCTTCAAACAGCCCCCCAAAACTACCACAGCTGTAGTTTTCAGCCCCTTCCACCTTCAAGATACATCAACAGAAGGGGGTTTTAGGCCTTTATATTAGATAATCTCACTCTGGGGAGACTGCTGTGGCACCGCTGGAGGAGGCAAGGACGCATGTTTACAACAGATATGATGATTACGTTCTTCATTTTGGCCAAAGTTTCCCTTTAATATACTCTAATATAGGCATATATTGCAATAAGTTGCAATATAACTGTGATGCTACTATTCTGTTCATACTGTGCAGCTCTGTAGAAGATATACAGTGGTCTTCACAGACAGATCATACCTGAGGCTGAAATGTTCCATCAGAGAAGCTGCCGGATTCTCCTGTAAGACATGCACATGTTAAAAAACAACTGAATGCCAAAGGAATTCCAAGCAGGAAGGTGGGGGGGTTAAAGGAGGAGTAAAGGGTAAAGGGCCTGTACTGCTGCACTGTGAACCCAATGACTTCACACTAAGTTGTGCTAAAGTGGATGTCAGATTGCTGAAGTTTCCACAGCCACAAAGTAGGTTCTAATGATTCTGCAAAGCACAAGACAACACACGGGGCTTCAGGACCCTCAGGACCCTCAGGATGAGCCCAGTGATCATGTAGTTTCATTACAGCCAGATTACAGCTTGATTATGATCAGCATGCAGGGCAGAGTTGAACAGGCTGGAAGTGGAAGAACGAAAATCTGCTGCTAACTAATTCTCAAGTCAGGAGCTCGAAGGCTGCTGTAATGTTACCGGTATCGGTATTTGGTAATTCTGAGTTTCTTGCTGTCTTTAAACTCTTACCTTCATCCACAGTGCCACTCTGTTTCACTTCCGGCAGCAGGCAGTCAGATACACTCTGAAACTCACACCGCCTCCTCAACAGTGCCGCTTATCACCGTAAACCCTCAACTAGAGGAGCAGTAGGATTTCAAAACGTACCACAGCACAGCCTGTCTGTACTGAGCACGTGGGCTCCTCACTGTCCATTTAGAACCTCTCACCCACTCACTGTCCACTTTATTAGAACCTCTCACCCACTCACTGTCCACTTTATTAGAACCTCTCACCCACTCACTGTCCACTTTATTAGAAACACTTACCTCCTCACCGTCCACTTTATTAGAAACACTTACCTCCTCACCGTCCACTTTATTAGAACCTCTCACCCACTCACTGTCCACTTTATTAGAAACACTTACCTCCTCACCGTCCACTTTATTAGAACCTCTCACCTCCTCACTGTCCACTTTATTAGAACCTCTCACCCACTCGCTGTCCACTTTATTAGAAACACTTACCTCCTCACTGTCCACTTTATTAGAAACACATATCTACTAACTGTCCACTTTATTAGAAACCCCTACCTACTCACTGTCCACTTTATTAGAAACTCATATCTACTAACTGTCCACTTTATTAGAAACTCATATTAACTAACTGTCCAGTTTATTAGAAACCCCTACCTACTCACTTTCCCTTTCCACTTTATTGAAAACCTGTCAACTCACTATATATATATATATATATATATATATATATATATATATATATATATATAGACAGATAGATACATAGATAGTAAGTTTCTCTACAAATGAAGCATTTTACATCAAACCTCTGTGAATGACAGTTTACAGCTGAACCACTAAATTATGCATACATTTTTAAACTGGCTGCTAGCTGTACATCTGACTAAAACCACAGTAAAAAGATCTAAAGATCCTCACATTACATAATGATGGTAAAAAAATTGATACTAAGGTGTTAAAGTTAAAAGTTAAACCTGAATAAGTTTGATGAGAACCGTTTAGGTTATTTACGGTAAAGGCTTTATTTCAAAATAAAGGAGCCATTCATTTTCTATATGTAAATCAAGGCCTCATTCATACAGGCTACTTTTCATAACTGAGTTTCTGCTGCTGATCGTCTGTCAGACTGTAGCTAAAGTACCGATTTGGTATTCGAGTTTGGCTGGAATTAGAGTAGATCATATCTTACGGGCTGCTTATTTTTATGTTATAACCTAAGGCCATGGCCAGTAACTCTACACCAGCCTAAGCCCTCACGAGGTGAGGAAAACCGACACATAAACATCCCAGTCCAGATCGACACACAACCAACCATTTATTGAACTGCATCACTCTTATTTACAGAACTAATGAACTGAACAAGTGCTGGAGTCTTGATTTGAACTGACAACAAAACTGAGAAAAGAAAAGCAAAAAATCTTGAAATTGCAACCAAAGTTATATCAAAACAGACGGTGTACTGTAAATGAAATGGCCACCCCCAAAATGAATATTCTAGCTGGTGATTCATGAGACCAACATCGCGCACACACGTAAACACATACATTCAACATGTACTTACTTTACATTCATGATATCAGTCCTAAAAGTACAGTGGATGTACCAGAAACTGTAGTCCAATATTTAGAAAGTTAAAGTGTGAACAAGGCCTTCTTCATCTGGGAGGGGAGGATTCCTCCAAGACGCAGCGCCAAAATATATACAGTGCTGTGTGAACGTCAGAGACCATTTATTTATTTAATTTCCAGTCATAACAGCCTTCAAGTTATTCATTTTTACTGTCAGAAAAAAAGCAGACAAAATATATTTAACGGAGAATTACACAGAAGCATCTAAATATAATATACATTTTTCAGTGAGTCACTCTTTCCCTTTATTCCAGCTTCCATTCTCTTCAGGAGCCTCACTTTCAGTTCCTCAAAGAATCTGCAGACACACTTCCAAAGTTCAGTCTTAGAAGCTGGTTGATCATTTTCTGAAGTAATCAAACACATTCAGTGGTGTTGAGGTCTGGACTCTGGGGTGGTCAGTCCATCGTTCAGCTTCTTTGTTTGATGTGTCCGTCTCCTTTTCTCAGTGAGGTTCTTCTTGACAGCTACACATCCTTTCAGACCCACAGCGCTGAGTCGTCTTCTCACAGTGGAAGGATGGACAGAAACACCTGTGGATGTTTTCAGATCTGAAGCAGCTTGATTTTCTCCTCTCTCTCAGAGATGAAAGCTTTAAGTGCTGTTTATCTGATGGGGGCAGTTTTGGGGTCGACCAGCTCTTCCAGGTGGTTGTTAGGAGGCCCATTTTCTCTGTAGCTTTTAATCAGTTTTGAGCTCCAGTTTTGGAAACTCACTTATATTCCTTTGACTTTGTCCTTCACTCTTAAAAAAGTTGGTTCTTCAATGGTTCTTAAGTAAAAATGAAAAAAAAAAAAGATTTTATATATAGAACCAAAGCACTCAAAGAACCCTTTGCATGATCAGAGAACCCTTTGGTTCTTCAGATTGATGGAGAATGTGCTGTTGATGGCTCTATAAAGCACCAAAAAGGGTTCTGCTATTGTTACAAGCTTATATCGTGACAATAACAAAACCCTGTTTGGTGCTATATAGAACCCTTCTCAAAAAGGTTCTATATAGAACAATCTACAGTACCTTCTCCATCATTCTGAAGAACCATTTGACCATGCAAAGAACCCTTTAACCATGCAAAGGGTTCTTTGAGTGTTCATGGTTCTATATAGAATTATTTTCTTCACTAAAGAACCCTTGAAGAACCATCTTTTTCAGTGTGTTCCTTATGCAAGTGGATTCTCTTATATATAACTTGTACTTAATGGCCGTTTGACTGGATATTACATAAGTGAAGGTGGTCTCTGACGTCTGCACAGTGCTGTGTTTATATGTGGTCAGTACATTTTAATCAAAACCCATTTTTCATAAACATCTCTTGGCAATCATGAACTTCAGGGCAAGCAATGAAAGCTAGTAGCCACCAGTTAGCATGCGCTAACTCTCAGAATGCTAAAAGGGGGCTGTTAGATCTCATTATTTCTAAGCTACATGACTGTTTTGAACTTTTCCGTAAATCACTTCACAGTAGCTTTATTGGTATTCGTCGCTTGAAGGCCTTCGTCTTGGGTTCTTCAGTGAGTTGAGGATTATGATGACTTGAGAAGATTGCTGAGAACTGTGAAGAAGGAAATATCGCTCCAATGTAAAAACATAACACGAAAACAAACATTCTTTATGCAATAAATAAAAACAAACGGTGAATTCCACTGTTTTTCAAAATGTTGAAGATGTAAACAGAGTCATTCAGAGTGGTTTGGTGTGAAACGCTCAGTTCTAGAGTCAGAACTGTTCACAGTGGTGGTGATAGGAACCAGACGTCCACCTCTAAAAGCTCCCTCACAGAAAGTTACTACATCAGATGGTTGCCTTATGAGAATTTTTTGGCCTAAATTTTTTTTTTTAATCCATTCATGGTGGAGGTGTTATGGGACAGCAGGGAGGCGGACCCAAGTGCAGAAAGGAAAACCTGTGAGAAAGTGTCTTAAATTAATTTTTTAAGGCGATGTAGTGTGAATTTGGTGATTGTGCACTTTGGAGCTGAGGTGAACCTCAATGTACTGACTGGCGGTCCGAGGAGTTACCGCTGCGCCACCGGGAAGCACAGGCCACAACGGGAAAAACACTTCAACGAATGGGAAATAAAAAGGTGGGAAAAAGGCAAACAAAGGAGACGCTGAAAGCAGCTGTTTGCCACAGCCTTAAGTAGAGGAGTCCACAGGTGTGCCAGGTTGGGCCTAATCAGCCCGAGGGCTTCTGGGAATTGGAGTTTCCTGAACTTATACGACTTACGGCTGGGCCCTTACAGGGAGGTAAATAGTCCCCAAAGGTTTTCCACTATTTTCCCATCATCAACATTCCATATAAACGCAGAAGACTCGTGTAGGTTCACTGGTGGTTTTGGATAGTGAATAAAATGTCCATATTAGTGTTGTAGTCATGGCGACCCCTGGTTCCTATCACCACCACTGTAAAGACATCTGAACCATTTCACACCAAACAGTGAAAAATCAGTGAGGTAATGAACTTCAAAGTCATAACTGTGTCATAGCCTCACCCTGAGGGTCGCTCTGCGCCCCGTTCTCCTCCTTAGCTCTCTCCGGGTCACCTGTAACAGGGTGGTTCATGGATTAGTCGAACTGTCTGACTGTTTTTGGCTGGTTAAGTAAAGGATATGAGCATTAGTGATGTGGTCACTCAAACCTGAACAGACAGACATATTATGTTGTAGAGAGGCACAATATATCATTATTGTTATCCATATGATTTATATCTGCCTGTTTGTGTAGGCTGGAGTAATGTAGCTCATTTTCTATTACTGTTCTTAATGGTGCCGTTATTTTGTTAAGACCAGAGATCTTCAAATCCAGACCTTATATTCAGTTTTCAGTCCTGGATTTTGGGTTCACTGGTAATAATCTGAACTGCTGATGCAGCTGATTGGCCACTAACATACATACATACATTCATCTAAACCGCTTATCCTCCTGGGTCGCAGTGGGGTGCTGGAGCCTATCCCAGCTGTCATTGGGTGGAAGGAATTTGAAGACCTATAACATTGCCAAAGGCTGCAATACAAGCCCTCACAGTGATTTTTACTGTGTGCTGTGATGAGTTTCTGTTGGTTTTATCAAACAAGATATTCCTTGAAATGCAACATATTATTCTTATAATCACAATACATTTTTTCCATACAGTGCAGCCTTACTATGTTGTACTTTATCATATGTCATGCTCTATGACTATAAATGTAATGTCATAGATACACACGGCAGTTACCTACGCTCTTACAAAAAAGCTGCAGAAAAGTTTTTTCAACTGAAAGGTTCTTTTTAGGCAACCTAAATACTTCATCTGTGGAAGGGGTACCAAAACTTTTTGTCTTGGGGGCCAAACTGCACTGTTTGTGGTGGGTCCAGGGCCAAAAAGGAAACAAATGCACAAAACAGTATAATAGTATTATTCAAAAGAAGGCAGGTTGGATTCAAATAGAGTTTTAAAACTTTCTTTAATCTTTTATTACTAAAACGCAAAACAAAAATCAAATAAGAATATATTTTATATACAGTATATATAATATAGTATAAAATAATGTTTGTTATCTCACTGTATGAGAGTTAGGGCCAAATCAAACATCCTCCTGGTCCCCTGATCTACAGCGTCACTCCAAAAAACAGTGTAAATGTTACTAAAAAATTACTGAAAAAAATGTAGATATTATATTACAGATGTATTATTTTGCGACACTTTAAGCCACTTACGTCCTTGAGCCTTGAAGCACAACTTCTTCTTCAGGTAGGCAAAGTAACCAGTGACAGCGCCGATGATGGCCACCCCGAATGACGCTACAACCCCGGCGACCGTGCCTGACCTGGACCCTGCAGACCGGACACAAGAAATGCAGAGTGTTGAGTTCCGGACTCAGCAGAGTGAAACAAGGTTTTTGCATGTATGACTCAAACCCAGTATTGCTCTATACTGCACTACAGGGCCACTAGATGGCAGTACAGCACTGCTGCACAGCTGTGAAACAATGAGGGACTTTTGCAGTAGTTTCTATGATTGGGACTGTGTATATGCACTGATCCACCAATGTAACACTATAAGTGCCTCATTTGTCAAAAGAAGATGCCATTTCGATGTTTACCGTAGTAAAAACATGCTGAATCACTCAGAACTGGACAAGCAGTTTAATTTGAATGCTGATGGTTGTAGGGTCTTACATTGAGATCAGTGTTCTAGACAACTGGGGGAAGGAAGGAAAGAAAGAGGAAATCCACCCCTGATTTCTGCACATCTCTCCACCCTATCTGCATATTTGATAAACGCACATTAACAAATGGCAAAAAGTTCTCAGAAGAGTTTTTGTGCTTGGCACCGAGATCAAAGCACTGTCACCACAGTTAGAGCACAGCCCTTATGTGCTATAAGCAGTAATGCCCCAAAGCCACCACAGTTTTTTCCTGATAGTAACCAATTAATTACTTCTTTTTCATTATTGCATAAAGTAATATGACTGGGGGGGATACGAGACCCCCAAGTAGCCCTGGTTTGGAAAGCTGCTGCCCGTGTATATGTAATACAGGCCCAAATACCGTCTATTACTTCGCAAATTGAGGCGAGCTACAGAAAAACAGAACTTTCCTGAGGGACACCACAGTCTGACTAGCAACAGGGTGTTTTTCAGATATAATATTGCTGGAAAAATCACTTGTATTAATGAAATATGCCAACGGGAATGTGCTCATTTTGTCTCCGCTGCACCCCATCAGCCAAAGCTACAGCCCACGCATACCATGAACCCCAAACTGTGCCTGTCATTCATCAAAAACTCGATGATGTTCTCCGAATATAACGGCCCAATAATTGACTCTGGGCTTTCTTCATGCAGTTTGAGCCATATGCCAACGGGAATGCATGCAGTTAGCACCATGCTAACTGATGGGGTATAAGCTTCCATTATCTGTTAGCTACATCAGCCTTCTAGCTCCAGCACAAGGTAAGGGATGTCCTGTCTTCGCTGATCGACCAGAAAAAGAGTTAAGAGTAAATCAGTGTAAATTGACCCAGTGCTTCAATGGGACAACTATGAGAAATGTTGTGCTAAACGTGGGTGGGAATGTAGACTTACTAGAACAGGAACAAACCAAGTGTGAAATTTCTAAACGTAGGGGACGCTGGTCCACTCAATACTGTCCGATGTCAGTGGTGGACAGTGACGAAGTAAACGTAATTAATTACTGTACTTAAGTAGTTTTTTGTGTCTCTGTACTGAAGTTTTTCCATTTTGGGCGACTTTTTACTTTCACTCCACTACATTTCAAAGTAAATATCTCACTTTTTACTCCACTACATTATGAGAAATCTGTCATTCCTTTTGGTTTATGTGTGTATAAAAACGTAACATGTCAAAACGAAAGAAGTGCAAAGCAAGAACACCAATCAGGGCACAGCGGTCACTTTGTTTTGAGCTTGTTTTGACCTGTTGGTCATACCGACCCAGTGCAGCACACGGTTCAACGTCTGTGCAGCAGCGTAATATTTTGGGAAAGTCTATTCAACATAAATGATGAACTAACCTAACTTTGTGTAAACAGACCACAATATAGAAATATGTACTCATATGCAGTTGTGACTGACGGGTCTTTATTCTGAATTTATACAAACACTATTTCATTTTATAGTAAATTAGTTTAGGCTAGTTTATGTTTATGAACAGAGACCTACAGATGCAGTTTAGTAAAGGAAACTCATTTGTGAATCTGAGTTTAAAGTTTTTATTAAACTTAAACTTGTAACTAAGTTCAAATAAATCTTAAACTGAAACTTTGCTTGTTTGTAAAAAGTGATTTCAGAGCCACTCAGTTCTACCTGATGGAAACTGTTCGCCTTCAGTGTTTTGTGTTTATGATAATTTTAATAGACATCAGCGTCACTAATTAATGACCTTCTATTAAAAGACTGGTTTACCAAGAGAGACACTGGAGTATTTTCACCTAAAATGAGTTAATGAAGCGAGTCTTGTTATAAAAATGATAATAGGACATTAGAGCCATAATTAAAATTCAAATTTAAACAATTAAATGTAAATGCAAACCTCTCTTTGCCATTTCTTTTTCCAAACATCTGCGTTTGGTCTGACTGTGTTTGGTCTGATGTTCAGTTTCACCATATCTGAGACGTGACGGTTTTCCCCGAGACTCGAAGTGGTTTAGTCCGAGGAACGATGCCGTTCCGACTCTGAGGTCTGAAGATGTCCTAAAATTTACCCAGTAGCCCCGCCTAGTGCTAATTAACATATATTTACATGTTGGTCAACTCGAAAACGGAAAAGCAAAGTTGCAAATGAAAAGTAAATCTCCAGCAGGTGGCGCCGATGTTCGTTTGTATTTGCCCTTTTATTCTGACACTCAAAGCATGTCGATGCCGAAAACTGAATCGTGAACCGTCACTTTGCGGTTGATTTATTCATTTTACATTTTCATTTTGTCAGATATGCAGCCGATTGCTGTAAAAAAGAAATCGTGAACACTGCATTTGGTTTTAGTTTCGACTCGTATTCTGCATTTCATGAAGAAAAGCCAAAGTGAAGCTTGGATTTTCTTTTCTCTATTAGCTTTTTCATTTTAGATTTGGCCATGAAAAACCAGAATAACGACTAAAATGAAACGACAAACAGCTGTTTTACATTTATTTTTTATTTTTGTCACAAATGACTCGTGTTTATGTGAAAAATGAAACTGCAAATGCAGGTATTTCATTTCATTTTCAACTTTGGCAGGATCTTTGTGCAAAAGTTTGGAAAAAGAAATGTCAAAAAGAGGTTTGCATTTACATTTTATTGTTTTAATTTTAATTTGGCTGGATTTGCCTCCATTACACAAGAAGCCAAATGCAAGCAAATCAACGTCATCCAACAAAAAAAAGCAGGTTAAAGTAAAAGTCACCTGGAAAAGCACACTTGGAAACGCGGCTAAGAACTACATGAAAACTGACAAGAACACTAACATAACAAGCAGCAGGTAATGGGGACGATGAGGGGGCGGAGCCTTTTGTTTTGTTGTAACTTAGCATAACAAAAAAAATAACTCTGCAATGTGAGTCGATTCCCAACGTTCTCCTAAAAGAGCCGGATCAAAGAGCCGACTCGTTCGCGAACGACACATCGCTACCGGCACCAAAACTTTAACAAGGTGCCCCCAGGTGTGTGGCCCCGCGGGACCAGGGAAAACTTGGTGTTGGAAAGCTGTGGAGAAATTTGCATATCAGGACAGGTGTACTGCTCAGCCTCAGGCCTGCGCTAACCACACTGGAGCTCAGCAGCCCTGATGAGGGTCCTTCACGCGCACTGATGTGGGTTCAGTGTGGATCGATAGACCACTCCACCCGGTCCCTGCTGTGGGAAAAAGAACAGCCCGTACGCTCATCACAGGCACGCTTCCCCGAGGAAGCCTCTCCGCGGCGTCTGCAGGGTTTGACGGAGCAGAGCGAGGAACGACACATTCGGGAACTGGAATGTGTTTGTGGGGGAAAATGAAAAAAGACAAACCCTCACACTGCTGGCAGGCAAGACGGAGCCTGATCCTTCGATTCCGCAGAAGATAAACGGGGGAGTGCCTGGATAATAAACTTGTTAGCAGCGTATCGACTTCAGGGTAGGAGAGAAACCCTGGGGCCAATTCGCTAATTACACAGCGGGGATGAGCCGCTTCAACGACACATGAAGTAGTAGATATATAGAGGCTTAAAGGAGCAGTTTGGCAAAAAATTCAATGCTTACACATCGGCCACAGTGCAGGCTTCAGGACTGCTGATCTTAGATATGCTAATGAACTTTTCTGCAGGTTTATAGATAACAGTACGATATACAGTGTCAGAAAATCCATAATCAAGGTTATTCGATAGTAGTTATTACTATTATTATTATTATTAGTTATTGTTATTATTATTAGTAACAATGAATTATTAGTTATTAGGGATCTCTATTTTCCCTGGGTCTTAAAATCCATTCCATTTCCTCCAACATTTAAGATTTCAAAACTATGACATTTGATTTGCTACGTTCAAACTGGGCTTTATGTAGTAAACTGACATAGCTTGCCAACCAATCAGCACTCGGTAGCAGTAACGCTGACCAATCAGCGCTCAGTAGCAGTAATGCTAACCAATCAGCGCTCAGTAGCAGTACTGCTAACCAATCAGCACTCAGTAGCAGTAACGCTAACCAATCAGCGCTCAGTAGCAGTAACGCTAATCAATCAGCGCTCAGTAGCAGTAACGCTAACCAATCAGCGCTCAGTAGCAGTAACGCTAACCAATCTGCGCTCAGTAGCAGTAACGCTAACCAATCAGCGCTCAGTAGCAGTAACGCTAACCAATCAGCGCTCAGTAGCAGTAATGCTAACCAATCAGCGCTCAGTAGCAGTAATGCTAACCAATCAGCGCTCAGTAGCAGTAATGCTAACCAATCAGCGCTCAGTAGCAGTAACGCTAACCAATCAGCACTCAGTAGCAGTGATGCTAACCAATCAGTGCTCAGTAGCATTAATGCCAACCAATCAGCGCTCAGTAGCAGTAATGTTAACGTCCTACTGCCCAAAATCTGTTTGTTGTAGAAAACCATAAAGGTTTTCTTTGATTTTTTAACTGAATACATTCAAAATTAAAGGAAATTCCTGTATAAAATGTTAGAAACAAGTTTCAGTTTTGTTTTCAGTCGTTTTGCTCCATTCTCTCCCATTCATTGGTGACTCGCTGGTGGGCACCCTCTAATGTTTTGCAGTCATGAGAGGCAGAGGAAGTGGTCAGGCTCCCTGTAAACTGGCTGTGGCTGTTTATGATCCTCTGTGTGACCTTTGGCGACCCAGTGAGCCTAACCATGACCTTTCATACGTCTCCTCAACGTGTAATCCTGAGGTACGGTGCGTTATAAAAAGAGCTGGCCTTGGGAACTTAGATACACTCCCATTATCAGCTACATTAGCCCTGTAGCTCCAGTGCTAAAGCATGTCTTGGCGTAAAAGTAAAACTGTGTACTTTTTTTTGTCAAAGTTTCCTTCGAAAGTTGCCAGATTTCAAGATACGCTGTTAGAACACGTTTCCACATCACCTCAAACAGGGTGAAAAGTGAAAGGCTGAACATGGAAATTTGAGGCCGGGTTGCCAGACAGGTTCATCTAACTGCTAACCAAAACTATCAGTAACGACAATCTGTCTCTTGTAGCGTAAACGACTGCACAGTAGAGTGGAAATATAAAGAGAGGAAAAGGCTCACCTTTAGATTCGTTACCATCTGTGATAAAAAAAAAGAGGGGAGAAAAGAAAGATAAAATTAGATTAGATACAATGTACAAAGGCATCAAACCGGCCACTTTATCGGAAACCCCTCTCTTGTAGCTCCACCTTGCTGGTGAACTGTTGCTCATCTGTTGCAGCACAGTTTGTGTTAGCCGTCCTCCAGCCCTCCGTTTCTGACCACAGAGCTGCTCTTGGCCCGAAACTTTTGGGAGGCGGCCCAAGCAGTGTGCTGAGAATGGTCCACCACCCAAACAACATCTGGACGACAGCGCTCCTGTGGTCTGAAACTGACCAGTGATTAATGGGGTAGAGGGGGGCTGATAAACTGTGGAGCAGCAGATGGACTACAGTCTGTAATTTTACACAAAGTTCAGATCACCTTCATTTATTTTATTTCCAGTCAAAACGGCCATTATGAACAAGCCATTCATTTCTCAATGTCAGGAAAAAAGCAGAAAATTACACAGAACCCTCAATAACTAAATATAATATCATTTATGGTCTATGACTTCAGCACAGTACTGTATATAGTGGACCTATAAAGTAGGTGGAGTGGCCAGTAAGTGGAATTATAAGGTAGGGCTTCTAATAAAGTGGCCAGTGAGGGGAAGTATAAGGTAGGGTTTCTAATAAAGTGGCCAGTAAGTGGAATTATAAGGTAGGGCTTCTAATAAAGTGGCCAGTAAATGGAAGTATAAGATGGCGTTTCTAATAAAGTGGCCAGTGAGTGGAAGTTTAAGGTGGGGTTTCTAATAAAGAGGCCAGTAAATGGAAGTATAAGATGGCGTTTCTAATAAAGTGGCCAGTGAGTGGAAGTATAAGGTGGGGTTTTTGATAAAGAGGCCAGTAAAGGGAAGTATAAGGTGGGGTTTCTAATAAAGTGGCCAGTGAGTGGAAGTATAAGGTGGGGTTTTTTATAAAGTGGCCAGTGAGTGGAAGTATAAGGTGGGGTTTCTAATAAAGTGGCTACTGAGTGGAAGTATAAGGTGGGATTTCTATTAAAGAGGCCAGTGAGTGGAAGTATAAGGTGGGTTTTCTAATAAAGTGGCCAGGGAGTGAGAGTATAAGGTGGGGTTTCTAATAAAGTGGCCAAGGAGTGAGAGTATAAGGTGGTGTTTCTAATAAAGCGGCCAGTGAGTGGATGTATAAGGTGGGGTTTCTAATAAAGCGGCCAGTAAGTGGATGTAAAAGGTGGGGTTTCTAATAAAGCGGCCAGTAAGTGGATGTATAAGGTGGGGTTTCTAATAAAGCGGCCAGTGAGACTATGTAGGTCAAAACGATGGATTACCGCTATTGATGAATCATCCAGTGATAAGAGAGCTGGAAATAAATAGCCGCTCGCTAACGTTTGTTCTGATTTGGCTGAGCACACAGAGAAAAGAGGAAAATCCAGTTCTCCTTTTGTTTGTATATGAGTTATAGTGTCTGTGCATGAAAGACTGTATGACTTTTGCAGTTTTGAAAAAGGGTTGGGTCTCGAGCCTCGCAGTATAAGGACATTATTAATAAATAAATAAATAAAAAGCTTTACCGTTTGGCTCAGCCTTCGCTCCAGCACTGTGCGCTGCAATGGAGAGCAAATAAAGACATCAAAGACTTGCATTAATAATAATGTCCTTATTAATAGCAATAATAACCACTTTGCCAGCCTCAACAGGTTCAGGAGATGGATGCGTTCTTTCCAGCAAGCCAGCGTTATTGGAACATCAAAGCTCAGAGGGATTAAGCTAACGTAAATGTTAAGGAGATGAACGTAATAAGTGAGTGGAGAACAAGCTTCAGCTTTTTCCGTGACCTCGCTTGGACAGTCAGCATGGCTAGCCAGATTTGAACACTGAAAAAACACTGAAATACACCGTTACAGACTGTAGTCCATCTGTTTCTCTGATACTTTGTTAGCCCCCTTTTACCCTGTTCTTCAGTGGTCAGGACCCCCATGGACCCTCACAGAGCAGGTACTATTCGGGTGGTGGATCATTCTCAGCACTGCAGTAACACTGACGTGGTGGTGGTGTGTTAGTGTTTGTTGTGCTGGTACAGACACAGCAGTGCTGCTGGAGTTTTTAAACACTGTGTCCACTCACTGTCCACTCTATTAGACACTCCTACCTTGTCAGTCCACCTTGTAGATGTAAAGTCAGAGACGATAGCTCATCTGCTGCTGCACAGTTTGTGTTGGTCATCCTCTAGTCCTTCATCAGTGGTCACAGGACGCTGCCCACAGGACGCTGTTGGCTGGATATTTTTGGTTGGTGGACTATTCTCAGTCCAGCAGTGACACTGAGGTGTTTAAAACTCCAGCAGCACTGCTGTGTCTGATCCACTCAGACCAGCACAACACACAGTAACACACCACCACCACGTCAGTGTTACTGCAGTGCTGAGAATGATCCACCACCCAAATAGTACCTGCTCTGTGGGGGTCCATGGGGGTCCTGACCACTGAAGAACAGGGTAAAAGGGGGCTAACAAAGTATCAGAGAAACAGATGGACTACAGTCTGTAACTGTAGAACTACAAAGTGCACCTATATAGTGAGCGTAGAAACAAGGAGGTGGTCATAACGTTATGCCTGGTCAGTGTACGTCAGTTAGCAGAACACAAGACAAATGAATACAACCACATGACGGTGTTGATTCTAAGGAGAGTCACTGCGTCATGGCATGTAATTCATCCTCAATGAAAGCATAAATCTGACTCACCATTATTGTCTCCGGTGGGCTGGTCATTTTCAGCTTGCCCCTCTGCAATACAGAAAGAAACTGCATGAAAACAATGCGGACGAGACTAGAGCATTCATTTTCCTATCGTCAGTGAGGTTCCCTTCCTGTCCGTCGCGCTAATAAAGCATGCTGAAGGCGCCGTGCGTTGACAGAGACAAATAAGATCGCTCTGTAACCAATTAGGAGACACGCTGAGGAGGCTGTAAACAAACAGGAAGGAGCCGGAGTGGTAGATTTAGGCCGGCCTAAGCGATAAAGGGGTTCAACACCGGATTGTGTGGGCAGAAATAGCTTCATATCCCACCCAGGAAGAGGTAGTCTAAGTGACGTGTAGTTATATGGTGTATAACCACTAGAAAATCACTAGATTTCAATGTACTCTCTTAAAAAATGCACAATGATACGTAAGAAATTCACAGATTTGGCCATTTTTAGTATTAAAATGCAATAATTTTATGGTACTGACTGAAGCTCGGCACGTACCTGTGTCAAGAGCGTCCGACAGATCCAGTCCATCTGACGGAGGAGAAAAGAGAGCAGTGTAAAAACTCTAACCCAGTAAGAATAGAGGCCTATGCAGTGAGCGGAAGAGCAAAGTAGGTGCTTCTAATGAAGTAAACAGGGAGAGTAAATGGAGATTTTTCTCAAATAAAAAGCACAACATCTCTGAACGTCCTTCAGTAGTTTCTCCTTCTCCTGTGGACAGCAGACACGGTTGGTAAACCCGAATTCACAATATAGATAAACACATAAAGTAGCTTGTGAGAAAACGACAAGCTGCTAACGTTTAGGCCACGCACAAGCTGTTTTTAAAACTTCATTCGTAGGAAATCTAACAGAGCACCGGGATTCCACATCAGAGCAGGTTAGAACCTTTATGCCAAATTTCCGTAAACTTGCTAAGAAGCAAAGTTCAGAGGGAAAGTGGTTTATGTGGGTGTTAAGAGCAGCTGGTGACTCAAATTTGAGGAGGAGAAGAAATAAGTTACGTTACGTTAATGTGAGTGTGTTTACAAGCACTTAATAATCTGATAACTGCAGAAAATCAGACTGTGTCAGAAACTGGTTCAGTGTGTTTTTGTGCTCTTCGGGTTTACATGAGCCATCTTACAACCAAGTTAGCCTTAGATAGCTGTGCTAAAAAACTAACTCAATCAAAAAAAATAAAATAAATAAACGTTATTAATACTATACACAAATCAATAAACAGAATTAAGAACGTAAACAGGGCCACTGATAACCGAATAAATCTCTTTTGTTTTCCAGCAGGTTCATTTATCATGACTAGCAGCGTACAATCTATGTAAATTACAGATTTCGGCTCCGTTACTGGATGTGCAGAACTTTGTTTAATGTAGCAAATTTATCCACTGACCAGCCATCACTGGTGGATGAAATAAGAATGCTGCGTCTTGGTGTTTCTCTAGTTTGGGATGAAACGTTACCAATAAGTCTCCAGCCGTAAGTATGAGAGACTGAATTCACACTGTTTTGGAAAAAGCGGTAACATGGTAACTGTAATATCTGATATTTGATAACCACTTACTTCCTGCGGGTCCCTCAGCATGTATAGACCGACCTCCCTCCTCAGTTATCACTGACAACAACACAAAAACATGCCATGACTTCCAAACCAAAGCTTTTCTACCAGCACTGCCAGTATTTTATATATTACACTGTCATATCAGAGCTGCGTAGTAACAAGAATATAACTGGATGTTGGCCTATTATGTCATGATCTCATTTATTGCAGCCAACTTCTCCTCATGAAATGCAGTTTTACAAGTTGCAATATTACATTTTTACCCAGACCAACATTGAATCAACCCTACCTGATTCATCAACGCTGTCGTCCGTCTCTGGGGCTTCTGAGAAATAAGAAAAACGACCATGTGAGCTCATTCGGCTTTTTACAGTAGCATATGCCATCCTGCCAAAGTTAATCAAACTATTAAACCCAGATTATGAAGATTATTAACATTAACTGACAGACACTTCATTAAACATTCATAAACTGGCATGTTCATGTAAATTATTTATGTCACATTTATGTCACACACATAAATGTAAGCCAGTTTATCTGAACCGACATTTTACAATAAAAATCAGTCAAAATGTCTAATAAAGTGAAGGTTTCATGCCTCTGTAACACTTTCTTGAATTAACTGTACCATCTTTGGAGGCCTTGTGGGCATTCAGCTTTTCTAAAACCTTTACTATTATTATAATACTGTATTGTTATATTATATTATATTATATTATATTATATTATATTATATTTAAGCAATAGAACATGAGAGGGAGTGTGTTATCGCAAAGAGCATCACAGCCGTGATGTTATTGGTGATAACACACTACTCGAGTGTTCTATTGCTTTAATACAACAGTTAAATAAATAAAGTAATAAATTAATAAACTGGGCCGTGAACGCGGCGTTTAATATGTTTTAATGTTCGCAGTTCCTTCACCAAATTATAGCTCCTTAACGCGCAGCTTGTTGCTACGTCAGAGTAACGAGCTCCGCCTACTCGCTGCTCAGTCTGCTGTAAGCCGCACCCTTTGAAGTTCAGACTGAGCCATAAAACTGCCGCAATATCAGGTTCAGCTCAGTTTTGTCAGTTTTTGCCAGATCAGTATTAATGTTGTTTTGTTCCAGCCAGTCTGTAAAGCATCTTACAGCCCGTTTAGTTTGGCGAATGGTGTTGGGTTCATTTCTGGCTGATTCCAGGTTGTTCAGCTGTTCTTCTGTCACAGCTGCCGACTGAAAAGCTGCTCAGTGGTGATGACAACTGTTGTATAATATATTATATTATATACAGTGATGCCCATGACTGCAGTGGACACAACCTCATCCACAACTGGCAAGAAGCTTTTCTTCATTATTCAATTTTAAATAAAAATAAGATTATGTTTAATTTACAGTTCATTTCACAATGACAATCTCACTTTATAACAGTACAGTGATCTTCAAAAAGGTTTTCTGATACTTTAATCTATTAGTTTTTATCTAATATCACATTTTGGTCCACGGATATTAGCGACTGTTTTCAGACAGCATCAACACTGAAGACACATTCAGTTTGTCAATGTAAAGTAACTCAGGATGTCATTTAATGCATGTGTGGTTAAAAAGGGGGGCATACGTGATTAACAGCAAGAGATGAGAAGATAAATCACGGAACATTTATAGACACAGGAAGTTGCCACTGAGGAGGCCACAAATGCCAGAAAGGGCATCCTCCCACTTGAAGGTGAGAACATGTTGTGCCGACACAAAAAAGGTCACACACAAATATGGAACCTAAAGTTTTAGGTTCCATATTTATTGATTATGCATTGCAAAGCAATAATAACACTATTGTTATCTGATTTATCTTCTTCTATTTTTTTTTTCTTATTTTTCTGGATTTTCTGCTAGTGTAGCTGGTCACCCAGCATGCCAAATATGCTGGTTTTACTGGTGAGCAGCCTATTAAAGGGGAACTCCACTGATTTTTCGAAAATTCCACATTAAATGGTTGAGATGTAAACAAAGTCATTCAGAGTGGTTTGGTGTGAAACGCTCCGCTCTAGAGAAACTTACAGAGTCAGAACTGTTCACAGTGGTGGTGATAGGAACCAGACGTCCACCTCTAAAAGCTCCCTCACAGAAAGTTACTACATGAAATGGTTATGAATTCACTGCCTGATGACTGAGACGCTGTTTTATGATAGTTTTGCGATAAAGTTTTGGCTGAAAATGTATTTTAATCCATTTATTTTAATCGATTATGGCGAAAGGATACATGCAGGACGTTGTGAGGCAAAATAGTCCCCAAAGAAAACGTATTATTTTCAGATTATTAACATTCCATATAAACTCAGAGGACTCGTGTAGGTTCACTGGTGGTTCTGGATAGTACATAAAATGTCTATGTACATAAAGTGTTGTAGTCATGGCGACCCCTGGTTTCTATCACCACCACTGTAAAGAGTCTCTACAATTAACCAGTTCACATCAGACCACTCTGAATGACTTTGTCCACGTCTTGAGTTATTCAGAAATTTTGAAAAATTGGTGGAATTCGCCTTTAACTTCCACTGCTGCTGACCAGCACACCAGCACCCAAAACACAACATATGTTGGTCTGTCCTGGATTTTCTAGCCAGGAAACCAAACGTTATCAACGTTGCAATCAGCAACAAACAGATGTAGCATCTCTACCTGTTTCATCATCTGCGCTGTCGTCTGCAGGTGTTACTGGCGGATCTGTGGGTGAACAACAGAAATGAGTCCTATGCTGGTCTGTGCTGGTTTATAGTGGTCTAGTGCTGATCTAGTGCTGGCTTAGCTGGTCACCCAGCACGGTCATACTGTTATCTGATTTATCTTCTTCTTTTTTTTTTTCTTATTTTTCTGGATTTTTGTCTGCTAACTTGTCCCGCAGTTTTCGAGATATCAGCGCTGTTCCAACTCCGGATTGTTCGGTCTGATTAGGAATGGCGTGCTTGTTTACAGCTTTTGCATCCGACGTACGGTTTTCATACAATCTCCATTCATTTACGATTTTTTTTCCCATAGGAATGAATGGGGAGATACCACAGCAACCTCCAATGCAACACCTTAGCAACCGCCTGGGATACTCCAGCAACCGCCCAGCAACCACCTCAGACACCATACCAACTGCCTTGTAATGCCTGGGAGCATAGCAGGTGGCTAACAACACCCTAGCAACCTTAGCAACCACCTGTAATACCATAGTAACCACATAGCAACCCCTTAGTAACCACCTTGGATACTACCACCTAGCAGCACCTCAGCAACCATATAAAATACCATAGCAACTGCCTGGCAACACCTTAGCAACTGTCTCAAATCGCTTAAGCTGCACCTTCACTCTGCACTATTCTAGTTTTTATAATAAAATACAAAATAACCCATTTGCAAGACTAGCAGGTGTCCTGTTTACCAAAACGCCTGCCTGCACGTTAGTGTGGATCACTGATACAGATCAGCAATTAGCAAAAAACGAGGTAATATCTACCTGTTTCATCATCTGCACTGTCGTTTTCAGGTGTTACTGGTGGATCTGTGGTTGAACAATAGAAAAGAGTTGAGTGACCCAACAGATGAACCTCAAAAAAACATGATACTATAAAACAAACCAAACGTTAGCAATCAGCAACAAACAGATGTAGCATCTCTACCTGTTTCATCATCTGCGCTGTCGTCTGCAGGTGTTACTGGTGGATCTGTGGGTGAACAACAGAAATGAGTTCCATGCTGGTCTGCGCTGGTTTATAGTGGTCTAGTGCTGATGTGGTGCTGGTTTAGCTGGTCACCCAGCATGGTCATGCTGGTTAGCCATCATACCAGCATCCAAAACACAACACATGCTGGTTTTACTGGTGACCAGGCATGCTGGTCTGTGCTGGTTTTTCTAGCCAGGAAACCAAATGTTAGCAATCAGCAACAAACAGATGTAGCATCTCTACCTGTTTCATCATCTGCGCTGTTGTCTGCAGGTGTTACTGGCGGATCTGTGGGTGAACAACAGAATTGAGTTCCATGCTGGTCTGTGCTGATTTATAGTGGTCTAGTGTTGATCTAGTGCTAGTGTAGCTGGTCACCCAGCATGCCAAATATGCTGGTTTTACTGGTGAGCAGCCTATTAAAGGGGAACTCCACTGATTTTTCGAAAATTCCACATAATTAAATGGTTGAGATGTAAACAAAGTCGTTGAGAGTGGTTTGGTGTGAAACGCTCAGTTCTAGAGAAACTTACTGAGTCAGAATTGTTCACAGTGGTGGTGATAGGAACCAGACGTCCACCTCTAAAAACTCCCTCACAGAAAGTTACTACATGAAATGGTTATGAATTCACTGCCTGATGACTGAGACACTGTTTTATGATAGTTTTGCGATAAAGTTATGGCTGAATCGATTATGGCGAAAGGATACATGCAGGACGTTGTGAGGCAAAATAGTCCCCAAAGAAAACGAATCATTTTCAGATTATTAACATTCCATATAAACTCAGAGGACTCGTGTAGGTTCACTGGTGGTTCTGGATAGTACATAAAATGTCTATATTTGTGTTGTAGTCATGGCGACCCCTGGTTCCTATCACCACCACTGTAAAGAGTCTCTACAATTAACCAGTTCACATCAGACCACTCTGAATGACTTTGTCCACGTCTTGAGTTATTCAGAAATTTTGAAAAATTGGTGGAATTCGCCTTTAACTTCCACTGCTGCTGACCAGCAAACCAGCACCCAAAACACAACATATGTTGGTCTGTCCTGGATTTTCTAGCCAGGAAACCAAACGTTAGGAATCAGCAACAAACAGATGTAGCATCTCTACCTGTTTCATCATCTGCGCTCGTCGTCTGCAGGTGTTACTGGCGGATCTGTGGGTGAACAACAGAAATGAGTCCTATGCTGGTCTGTGCTGGTTTATAGTGGTCTAGTGCAGATCTGGTGCTGGCTTAGCTGGTCACCCAGCACAGTCATACTGGTTAACCAGCATACCAGCATCCAAAACATGACAAATGGTGGTTTTACTGGTGATCAGACTATTAACTTCCATTGTGGCTGACCAGCACACCAGCATCCAAAACACAACATATGTTGGTCTGTCCTGGATTTTCTAGCCAGTAAACCAAACGTTAACAGTCAGTAACAAACAGATGTAGCATCTCTACCTGTTTCATCATCTGCGCTGTCGTCTGCTGTTACTGGCGGATCTGTGGGAGAACAACAGAAATGAGGTGAGTAAAATGAAACACAAGAAACCTGCTTTGATAACCCAGAACAAACCAAACGCCTCCAGCTTTGCTTTAAACAGACATGGGGTAGATATCTGAACATGGGCAAAATCATGGCAGAGTAGATGTTCATGGAGATAATGTGCTAAAGAAGGGTGACACTATTCAAGAACTCCAGCCAAAAGCTCATTAATCAAGCAAAGTCAGTCACAACAACAACACGGCATTTCTGCGTGTTTCAACAGGAGCAACTCGGCTTAAACGCCTCATATCACAACACAGTTAAACAACAGAAACCTGAGTGCTCTCAGTAAAGGATCGGTTTGGCAAAAAAAACGTATTTATATGAGTTTTTCTGAAGTAAGTTACCCCCCATAGACTTCCATGGGGCATAAAATGAGACAGCAAATTACTTTTAGAAGCTGAGCTGAAAAAAAAACAGCTAGGCTGGTCTAGTGCAGGTCTAGTGCTGGTCTAGTGCTGGTTTATGCTGGTCTAGTGCTGGTTTATGCTGGTCTAGTGCTGCTTTAGCTGGTCATCCAGCATGGTCATACTGGTTGACCAGCATACCAGCATCCAAAACACAACATATGCTGGTTTTGCTGGTGACCCACCATGCTGGTCTACCCTAGTTTTAGCAGGGATGATATATCAGTAATTAATTCTCTATCTGCTGTGCTGTTGTTTCAGTCTTATTAACTCAATATAGGACAGAATATATCTTATAACTGACCTCGGACTACCAGCGTCTCAGCAAGAGGAAGCGAAGCAGAGAAACGCTTAAATTGAAGCTAAAGGCTAAATGATTTTTTATGATTGTGATTCACGCCGTCATACTCAAGTCTGGAAGGCCTCAGTCTCAGGGTAAGGAGGACCAGTTGAGTGCAAGACCTCCTTTATTTCTGCTTTTCAAAGTTTTCTGCATAATTAAATGATTAAATGTTCAGATCTAGAGAAAGTTGTTGAACTGTTCACAGTGGTGGTGATAGGAACCAGACGTCCACCTCTAAAAGAAAGTTCCTACATGAAATGGGTATGAATTCACTGCCTGATGACTGAGCCACTGTTTTATGATTTCTGCTTTTACGAGTTTTTGGCCTAAAATGTATTTAAAATCCATTCACAATGGAGGGATACATGCAGGGCGCTGTGAGGCAAAATAGGTCCCTAAAGAAAACTTATTATTTCAGATTTTCCACTATTTCCCATCATCAACATTCCATATAAACTCAGAAGACTCGTGTAGGTTCACTGGTGGTTCTGGATAGTAAATAAAATGTCTATATCTGTGTTGTAGTCATGGCGATGCCTGGTTCCTATCACCACCACTGTAAAGACATCTGAACCATTTCACACCAAACCACTCTGAATCTCTCTGTTTACATCTCAGGCACTGAATTATGACTTTACTGAAAAATCAGCGGAAATCCCCTTTAACTGAAATAGCAGGCTAAGCTAAATGAAGCACTTGATGGCACCACAACATTACGCCGTCACACAACTACCGTGAAGCTGTGTGATTTAGAAGAACAGATGAAGTTTAGTGTAACTCATAAAGCTTGAAGATGAAGACAATGCAGCATTTGTGAGCTGATCACACTCGTGTGCGCGCTTGGTGGCGAGTCGGACCGCGTGACCGCAGATGGACGCCTGTTTCTCAGCGTGACGACTGTCGAATAGCGATATCAGATTGAATTAGCCTATAAATGGGTAATCCCACAGCGAGGGGTCATAATTGCTGTTTGATCTGAACATGCAGACACAGCAGGGTCGAAAATTGCCATTACAGGGTCAAATAAGGACAAACTCAAGTCCTAAACTGAGGATTTGGTTTATTTTTTTAAAGGGATATATAAATATGTCTATTTCAAGACTTATAAGACTTTTAAGAGAACCCTGGATTTAAGAAAATATGTGCACCCGAAACAAGGTATTTATACAGTATTTAAAGTCTTCCGTACCAGTTTGTGGTTCCTCTGTAGACGGTGGATCTGCAGCAGAGTCTGAAAACAAACAGCAGCTGAGAAGATTACATTCACACACAACACCACATTGTACAAGGTGGGTGTTTCTAATAAAGTGGCCAGTCAGTGGAAGCACAAGGTAGATGTTTCTAATAAAGTGGCCAGTGCGTGGAAGTGCAAGGTGAGTGTTTCTAATAAAGTGGCCACTTAGTAGAAATACAAGGTAGGTGTGTTTAATAAAGTGGACAGTGAGTGGAAGCACAAGGTAGGTGTTTCTAATAAAGTGGCCAGTGAGTGGAAGCACAAGGTAGGTGTTTCTAATAAAGTGGCCAGTGAGTGGAAGTGCAAGGTGAGTGTTTCTAATAAAGTGGCCACTTAGTAGAAATACAAGGTAGGTGTGTTTAATAAAGTGGACAGTGAGTGGAAGCACAAGGTAGGTGTTTCTAATAAAGTGGCCAGTGAGTGGAAGCACAAGGTAGGTGTTTCTAATAAAGTGGCCAGTGAGTGGAAGCACAAGGTAGGTTGTTTTCAAACATCTTAACAACCAAAATGTTTCTTTTATGGGATCAATAAAAAAAAACCTTCGTGGCAAAGAGTGAATAATATTTGTAGATGATCTTTACCTGGAGCTGAATCCGTTGGCTCTGGGTCTGTTAACGCAACAACAGATAGTAAAAGGTCAGCACCACTTCTGCTCTTTGTTTTTGTATATGAGACTCTGGTCTGTGCATGAGTTTCTGCTGACCTGATTGCTGCCCCTCAGTCTCAGATGAGGGTGTTTCTGTTGTTCCTGCTGTAAAAATTAAAGACACAATTAGCAGAATCCCAACAATTTGACTTATACCTGATGTGAAATGCTCCAGTATACAGAAACGTACAAGGCAGAGTTGTTTACAGTGGTGGTGATAGGAACCAGACATCTGAAGAGTTTAATGCTTTAAACACTCCCTCACATGAAGTTATTACACTAAATGGCTGTGATTACACTGCCTGATGTCACTGGTTTATGACAGTTTTGAGAATATTTTGGCCTAAAACGTATGTTTAAAATAGATTTGTGGTGAAGAAGTAATTGCAGGTTGTTCTAAGGTAAAACAGTCTAGTTTACCTTGTATTTGTTCTATTTTTTCACATTTACCACAGTTTTACCATCATCAACATTCCATATAAACCCAGAAGACTCCTGTAGGTTCACTGGTGGTTTTGGATAGTAAATAAAATGTCTATATTTGTGTTGACTGGTTCTACAACTGCAAAGAAATCTGAATCTACACAATGAACCATTTCACATCAATCCACTCTGAATCACTCTGTTTACATCGCAACCATTCAATTATGCAAACACTTTGAAAATTTGGCAGATTTCCCCTTTAATTTATGTTAATTAAGCGTCTAATATCAGAGTCATTGGTCAGAAACAGATGAATGGGGTGGAAGGGGGCTGACAAGCTGTGTAGTAACATATGGACTACAGTCTATAACTGTACACCTATTGGACCTCAAAAGGGGCCAGTGAGTGGATGTACAAGGTGAGTGTTTCTAATAAAGTGGCCAGTGAGTGGATGTACAAGGTAGGTGTTTCTAATAAAGTAGCCAGTGAGTGGAAGCACAAGGTGAGTGTTTCTAATAAAGTGGCCAGTGAGTGGATGTACAAGGTAGGTGTTTCTAATAAAGTGGCCAGTGAGTGAAAGTATAAGGTAGGTGTTTCTAATAAAGTGGCCAGTGAGTGAAAGTATAAAGTAGGTGTTTCTAATAAAGTGGCCAGTGAGTGGATGTACAAGGTAGGTGTTTCTAATAAAGTGGCCGGTGAGTGAAAGTATAAGGTAGGTGTTTCTAATAAAGTGGCCAGTGAGTGAAAGTATAAAGTAGGTGTTTCTAATAAAGTGGCCAGTGAGTGAAAGTATAAAGTAGGTGTTTCTAATAAAGTGGCCAGTGAGTGGATGTACAAGGTAGGTGTTTCTAATAAAGTGGCCGGTGAGTGAAAGTATAAGGTAGGTGTTTCTAATAAAGTGGCCAGTGAGTGGATGTACAAGGTGAGTGTTTCTAATAAAGTGGCCAGTGAGTGGAAATACAAGTAAATCTAATTTTGTCTAGTGACGTACGTCACTTTCTGCCAATGTTTCAGTGATTCTATCAGTAAATGTTTAGGAAATGGGGGATAAGAGGCTGAAATTCCGTGTAAAGATAATTTCCAAGTTAATATCTGAAATGCAAATATGAAACGACATTCGACATTAACTTCCTCTTGATTTGCAACTCCTGAAAAACACAGAAACACATCCCATCGAGGCATCTGCTGATCTACACGACTGCTACATCTTAGCTTCTACATGTTGGGACATCTCCTGTCTTCTACTGGAGCGTGGAAAACCCCCAATGGCTGAGCTGATCAGGACCAAACCTGTCGCAGGCTGAAACAGTGCCCCCCACCCCCAATAACCCAAGTGTGGTTGATCAGCCAAGACAACAACCCACCTGCTTCCTCAGAGGCGGTATCCTCAGCCAGGGCCGGGGTTCCTGCTTCTGCGCCTGTGTGTAGATTGAGATGAAGTGCAGCTGAAAACTCTTTTTGAATAACATGTCTGTATTTTATATAAATATTTCTGGGCACTGCCTTCAAGCTAAGCTCTCTCTATCACTTTTTAATAAGCAGCTTGACTTTACTGATGTAGCTCAAGGCAGCATATCACCACAATGACGCCCTTAGAGGGCGGCGCTGAGCGACGGTTGTTTATTTGATGTTTGTTAATGACGCCTTTAGAGGGCGGCGCTGAGCAACGGTTGTTTATTTGATGGTTGTTAATGACGCCTTTAGAGGGCGGCACTGAGCAACGGTTGTTTATTTGATGTTTGTTAATGACGCCTTTAGAGGGCGGCGCTGAGCAACGGTTGTTTATTTGATGTTTGTTGATGACGCCTTTAGAGGGCGGCGCTGAGCGACGGTTGTTTATTTGATGTTTGTTAATGACGCCTTTAGAGGGCGGCGCTGAGCGACGGTTGTTTATTTGATGGTTGTTAATGACGCCTTTAGAGGGCGGCGCTGAGCGACGGTTGTTTATTTGATGTTTGTTAATGACGCCTTTAGAGGGCGGCGCTGAGCAACGGTTGTTTATTTGATGTTTGTTGATGACGCCTTTAGAGGGCGGCACTGAGCAACGGTTGTTTATTTGATGTTTGTTAATGACGCCTTTAGAGGGCGGCGCTGAGCAACGGTTGTTTATTTGATGGTTGTTAATGACGCCTTTAGAGGGCGGCGCTGAGCGACGGTTGTTTATTTGATGTTTGTTAATGACGCCTTTAGAGGGCGGCGCTGAGCGACGTTTGTTTATTTGATGGTTGTTAATGACGCCTTTAGAGGGCGGCGCTGAGCAACGGTTGTTTATTTGATGTTTGTTGATGACGCCTTTAGAGGGCGGCACTGAGCAACGGTTGTTTATTTGATGTTTGTTGATGACGCCTTTAGAGGGCGGCACTGAGCAACGGTTGTTTATTTGATGTTTGTTGATGACGCCTTTAGAGGGCGGCGCTGAGCGACGTTTGTTTATTTGATGTTTGTTGATGGCGCCTTTAGAGGGCGGCGCTGAGAGACGTTTGTTTATTTGATGTTCGTTAATGGCGCCTTTAGAGGGCGGCGCTGAGAGACGTTTGTTTATTTGATGTTCGTTAATGATGCCTTTAGAGGGCGGCGCTGAACGGCGTTTGTTTATTTGATGGTCATTAATGACGCCATTAGAGGGCGGCACTGAGCGACATTTGTTTATTTCACGTTGGTTAATGACACCTTTAGAGGGCGGCGCTGAGCGACGTTTGTTTATTTGAGGGTTGTTAATGATGCCTTTAGAGGGCGGCGGTGAGCGACGTTCGTTTATTTGATGTTCGTTAATGATGCCTTTAGAGGGCGGCGGTGAGCGACGTTCGTTTATTTGATGTTCGTTAATGATGCCTGTAGAGGGCGGCGGTGAGCGACGTTTGTTTATTTCACGTTGGTTAATGACGCCTTTAGAGGGCGGCGCTGAGCGACGTTTGTTTATTTGATGGTCATTAATGACGCCATTAGAGGGCGGCACTGAGTGACATTTGTTTATTTCACGTTGGTTAATGACGCCTTTAGAGGGCGGCGCTGAGCGACGTTTGTTTATTTGATGGTTGTTAATGACGCCTTTAGAGGGCGGCGCTGAGCGACGTTTGTTTATTTGATGTTCATTAATGACGCCTTTAGAGGGCGGCGCTGAGCGACATTCGTTTATTTGATGTTTGTTAATGACGCCTTTAGAGGGCGGCGCTGAGTGGCGTTTGTTTATTTGATGTTTATTAATGACGCCATTAGAGGGCGGCGCTGAGCGACGGTTGTTTATTTCACGTTGGTTAATGACGCCTTTAGAGGGTGGCGCTGAGCGACGTTTGTTTATTTGATGGTTGTTAATGACGCCTTTAGAGGGCGGCGCTGAGCGACGTTTGTTTATTTCACGTTGGTTAATGACGCCTTTAGAGGGTGGCGCTGAGCGACGTTTGTTTATTTGATGGTTGTTAATGACGCCTTTAGAGGGCGGCGCTGAGCGACGTTCGTTTATTTGATGTTCATTAATGATGCCTTTAGAGGGCGGCGCTGAGTGGCGTTTGTTTATTTGATGTTTATTAATGACGCCATTAGAGGGCGGCGCTGAGCGACATTTGTTTATTTCACGTTGGTTAATGACGCCTTTAGAGGGCGGCGGTGAGCGACGTTTGTTTATTTGATGGTTGTTAATGACGCCTTTAGAGGGCGGCGCTGAGCGACGTTTGTTTATTTGATGTTTATTAATGACGCCATTAGAGGGTGGCGGTGAGCGACGTTCGTTTATTTGATGTTCGTTAATGACGCCTTAAGAGGGCGGCGCTGAGCGGCGTTTGTTTATTTGATGTTTATTAATGACGCCATTAGAGGGCGGCGCTGAGCGACGTTTGTTTATTTCACGTTGGTTAATGACGCCTTTAGAGGGCGGCGCTGAGCGACGTTCATTTATTTGATGTTTGTTAATGACACCTTTAGAGGGCGCTGCTGAGCAATGTTTGTTTATTTGATGGTCGTTAATGACGCGTTTAGAGGGCGGCGCTGAGCGACGTTCATTTATTTGATGTTCGTTAATGACGCCTTTAGAGGGCGGCGCTGAGTAACACTTGTTTATTTGATGTTAATAACACCTTTCGAGGGCGGCGCTGAGCGACGTTTGTCTGTTTAAGCTCTGAATTTTGTCTATTTGTCTATTTAAGAACTTAGGTATGCTAGCACTGTCCCATTTGTCCCCTCTAATCATAAATGGACACTTATGAAGTTGGGCTCTGAAAGTGGATAATTAGGGGCATTTCCTGTGAAGCCCAGTCACAACATACTTCCATCCTCAGACGGGGCAGAGTCCAAATCTGGATCCTCCGCTGGAGCCGGGGTTACGTCAGCGCCTGTGTGAAGAGGTTTGAAAGACTGAGTGCGACAGGAAACTCTATAGAGACAATATGACCTCATCGTACACAAATGACCATACCTCTGGACACGGCACTTAACCAAACTACATTTGCGCACATGCGTTCTTTTGGTAGCAACTGTTGCTATGAATTCAACAGATGCTAACAGCTATGAATCTGAATATGTGGAAAATCCATTCCACTTATTGAGAAACTACAGCACAGAACAAGCACACAACTCAAAATACATACAGTTAGAGTGTGTTATTAATTTTAAATGATACTGAGTCTGTTCTACAGTTTCTCATTAGGCTGAATGAATAACCGACTCTAAATGTAGGTATTGTGATATAAACTTAGTCTGTTCTACAGTTTCTCATTAGGCTGAATGAATAACCGACTCTAAATGTAGGTATTGTGATATAAACTGAGTCTGTTCTACAGTTTCTCATTAGGCTGAATGAATAACCGACTCTAAATGTAGGTATTGTGATATAAACTGAGTCTGTTCTACAGTTTCTCATTAGGCTGAATGAATAACCGACTCTAAATGTAGGTATTGTGATATAAACTGAGTCTGTTCTACAGTTTCTCATTAGGCTGAATGAATAACCGACTCTAATTGTAGGTATTGTGATATAAACTGAGTCTGTTCTACAGTTTCTCATTAGGCTGAATGAATAACCGACTCTAATTGTAGGTATTGTGATATAAACTGAGTCTGTTCTACAGTTTCTCATTAGGCTGAATGAATAACCGACTCTAATTGTAGGTATTGTGATATAAACTGAGTCTGTTCTACAGTTTCTCATTAGGCTGAATGAATAACCGACTCTAACTGTAGGTATTGTGATATAAACTGAGTCTGTTCTACAGTTTCTCATTAGGCTGAATGAATAACCGACTCTAATTGTAGGTATTGTGATATAAACTGAGTCTGTTCTACAGTTTCTCATTAGGCTGAATGAATAACCGACTCTAATTGTAGGTATTGTGATATAAACTCAGTCTGTTCTACAGTTTCTCATTAGGCTGAATGAATAACCGACTCTAAATGTAGGTATTGTGATATAAACTCAGTCTGTTCTACAGTTTCTCATTAGGCTGAATGAATAACTGACTCTAAATGTAGGTATTGTGATATAAACTGAGTCTGTTCTACAGTTTCTCATTAGGCTGAATGAATAACTGACTCTAAATGTAGGTATTGTGATATAAACCGAGTCTGTTCTACAGTTTCTCATTAGGCTGAATGAATAACCGACTCTAAATGTAGGTATTTTGATATAAACTGAGTCTGACCTGTCCAGTTCAGGCCACGAAGGCCTCTGTAATGGACAGATGAGTGTCTTAAATCCATGTAAAGACAAAAATGGTGCAGTGCTGTAGATCTCATATGTATAAGCCATTTCTGTGTGTATATACTGTATAAGTCTTAATAAGTGGGCCATGATGAAGTAGCGCTAACAGCTCATTCGGTGCAGTTTGAATAGAGTCCTATTGAATACCTCATCACACATCCTTCAGTGCTTTCCTGAATGAGAAGCGTCATTACTGTAACACCACGTCAACGGTTAGAGTTAAAGGCAACCCCCACCACTCTGCTGCACCACGTTTGTTCAGAGAGCCAGAGGGAAGAAATGCTGGGTGTGTTTAGGGTGTGGGTGTCTGTTATAGCTGAGAGTGAAAAGAAGCAAACGTACCGTCCTCCTCTGACGCCGCCACTTTCCCTCCTGTGACACACAAAAAAAATATTTTTCAGCTTGTAAAAATGATTAAAGGGCCCATTTCTTATATTTCCTTGTCTTATCATTCACCTTGCGGTCCACTTATGTAGTTTATGCGGTTTTATGTACCAAAAACATATCATAATTAGTGATGCACCAAAAAACAAAAAAACTAAAATTCTCGATTGAACCCAAAACCAAAATTTCAGATACACAAACCGAAACCTGAAGACCAAAAAAGGAAGTTCTTTTATAAGCACCATTCTACCAATTTGGTTCAAAGTCAGAGTTCAAAACAGATTTTGGAGTTTTAACTGACCAAAATCCTTTTGCTTTGAGTGACCCTATACCTTAATTATGCTTATTTTATTTTATATAAATTACTGAATGTTCCATTTTGTCACCGTAACTCTACCCAAACTTTACCAAATGACTGTTTCGGTAGCTAATTTTGAGAATAACTCTTTGAACAGTTGTATATACATAAAATCGTATATACATAATTGCATATACATACAAGCATATGGACTCCCATCTAGCAGTCTGAAGTACCTCCTGCAGAGGGCACTATTAACACACTATTAACACGCTTTAGTGTTTGTCTTATAGAGAAGAAAGAGTCATGAACCCACACTAGCAGGATGTAACAAACACACGTGGTTGCAGTAACGGCTCTCAAAACCAGAGGCAAAAAAGTTTATTACCAAGAGATAATGAGTTATTCAGCATAAAGGATTAGATAATCATTAGTCAGTGATTAAAAGCGTGGGAGTTAACGAGCGTATAGAGCGGAGCTGCAGTGGACCATGTTGGAGTTTCACTGTTAATCTGCTGCTCAAATTGTTTGAACGCATCTGTGCTGACCGGAGCAGGAGAGCTAAGAAAACAGAGTGTGTTTACATGAACTTAATACTCCGATAACTGCAGAAAAACAGATTTTGTCAGTAATCCAATCAACACGTTTACATGCACTTGGGTAATCAGATAATGTGAAACTCCTGGTCTACATGAGTCAGACAGTAATCAGATTTCTGTTTTGCTACCAGCCAATAAACTCACAGAAGAAGCCGAGACGTAAACATAACGTAAAACTCAAACTTCATTCTGCAGCTTTTTTTTTAAACATTGAGCCACTTTACCTGAAAATATGAACACACATCATCTAGAAGATGAAGAATATTAAAATTCTTATTCTTGTCAAGCATGTATTTGGTTTCAGCGTCGCTCCAAAAGTGTTTTGCTGTGTCTCGCGGCGACGCTGCTCGCTTATTTCTGGAACTGCGGTCTGTTTTCGCACATACTCAGACTGAGAAATCCGAAAGAAATCAGAGTAAGAGTTCACATGCACTGAGAAATCTGATTACTGAGATAAAATCCAGCCTTTTCATTGGATTTCTTAATCAGATTATGGTGTTTACATGACCATTTGAATAAGCGGATAAACAGCGGAAATTATGATTGGACTATTCGGACTGATTCGGATTGAGTGCATGTAAACACACTCAGTGTTTTTAATCACTATTTCTCACTTTCATTATCATTCAGATAATTTACTGTTAGATCTTGATACTTCATAACATAGATCTGTTCATTTTTTGGCTTTTTTGTCTCAAATTCTAAGCCAAAAACTGGAAATTCCACCATTTTTGCCTGAAAATTTTCATCGGTCAAATTTTTGGTGCATGCCTAGTTATACTTCAAGTTTCTGTTACTGTCTCTTTCAGACTGATATATGTAAATGAGCTCTGTTATGATAGATTTAGGCATGCAGTTAGCACCATGCTAATTGGTGGGAGTATAAGCTTCCATTTCTTATTAGCTGCATTAGCCTCGTAGCTCCAGGGCTACAACTAAAAAGGCAGACCACACACGTCTTGGCTGATCAGCTACATCTGGGCTAAGAGGACTGAAAATCAGATTTTTACTGCACTTAATCGCTTAAGGCAGAACATACAAGCAATGACTTGAAATTGTTCGAGGCTCTGTTTGAGGCTAGCAGGCTCTAGCTGAGGCGTCATACATCATTCTGGTTTTGCAATGGCTTCTTGTTATTATTTTATATATTTAGCCTTTGAATAGGACATCAGCTGTTTGGATGATTGGTGCCAAACACGTCCCATACGCTTTCACATCCCTGCGTATTGTGGGTTTGCTTCTTGTGTTGTTTTGGGCCCTAAAACCAAACCGGCCTTTGGCTTGACCTTCACTTTTTTCCCCAAAGCTCTGCAGTTTCTTTTGTTTTGCCCTGTATGATCAGTCCAGCGCTGCGGGTCTTTGACAAATTAACCAGCTGCTGTGAGTGTCTGGTGGATAGGACTGCGTGGGACAGCACACCTGCCCCTTTAATCTACATACTGCCCACATACTGCTGCCACAATACCATCATTTAACTAAGCCTAGTATCACAATGCTCCACTCTAAAACTACACTATAGCAAAAAATTAAAAACATTATCTGCAGAAATCTCTGATTTCCAACTTCATTTTTTTTATCAATACAAAACTCTTCAAACGTTATCTGATAATTAACTCGCCCCCTCTTAAAAGGGATTTTTTTTAAAAAAAGGGAGTTTTATCAAAATATCCGAATAATTAAACGGTTAAGATGTAAACAGAGTCATGCAGAGCGGTTTGGTGTGAAACGCTCTGCTCTAGAGAAACTTACTGTGTCAGAATTGTTCACAGTGGTGGTGATAGGAACCAGACGTCCACCTCTAAAAGCTCCCTCACAGAAAGTTACTACATGAAATGGTTATGAATTCACTGCCTGATGACTGAGACACAGTTTTATCTATGTTTTGAGAGGATTTTGGTCTAAATCATATTTTTAAACGGTGGAGGGATACATGCAGGCCGTTGTGAGGCAAAATAGTCCATAAAAATCAATATTCCATATAAGCTCAGAAGACTTGTGTAGGTTCACTGGTGGTTTTGGACAGTAAATAAAATGTCTATTATGTCTCATTTGTGCCCTGTGATGGACTGGCGACCTGTCCAGGGTGTATCCTGCCTTCCGCCCAATGACAGTTGGGATAGGCTCCAGCACCCCACCGCGACCCAGAAGGATAAGCGGTTTAGATGATGGATGGATGGATGTCTAATATGTCTGATTTTATTAATTAAATAATGCTAATGAAAATAAGCCATCTGGCTAAATCTGGCACATTTACATTATGAAATAGTGATGCTGATTAATATATAATGTCTCTCTTAAATAAACAACTAAGCTAATATAGTAAATTCAAATGTAAATTTATTTAATGCTGTCATGGTTAATTACTCTATTTATTATTATTATCATTATAGCAACAATAATAATGGCAAACGTTTAAACACAGCAAGAGCATTCATCATTTAATTAAGTGTAATATGCTAATGAGCGTGTCTGGCCTATCGTTAAGGCTGCATAATATCGTTTTAACTGTAATTACATTATGATCCATCACAGTGATATCATGGACCATCTCCAATAAGCAAACGAGCCTCTGACCAATCACTGAATGGTTTATTGTGTGGCGCATCACCACTGCAATATTTAGTAACATAATCTTTAACATGTGCAGCTCTAATTGCCGTGGCTTATTTAATTGGTTTACAGGAAGAACCTCAACACAGCGTTAGCCTGTTTAATAAAGGCCGCATTGAAAGAGCATCATCATCATCATCAACGTCACTCTCAGAGATGAAGAACGAGGCGAGGCCACTCTGAGCCTTCAGAGACGCTCACTAACTCCCCGGTTCCCCGGAGGCCGATACAAACCAGGCTGTTTTTTTACTTTTTAGTGGGTGGAACCCGCAGCTGGAGCCAGGATTGAGTTACCGAGCACTTTCACACTCATCCCTTTCTCTCATGGGACAGATGAATGAGACAGAACCCTAGAGGAACGCGCTCTGTGTGCTTTCAGGGTGGACGCACACAAGGCGGTCCCGATGACATTAAAACCACAACAACCCAGCGCTGCTCAGCACACCTGTGTTCTAAAGCTGGTGGTTAGATTTGTACAGTTCTAGAATAAGAACCGACAAGCCAAACGAATCCCATGTGAAAGAAGGAGAACAGTGTGACTACAGGACAACGTTCTAGACTGGTGTAAAGCTGCTTTGTAACAGCAAAGATTTAAAAGGAAGAGAACATTCAGGAAAAGGCTGAATGAGGGAGAAAGTTCTAGAACAGTGTAAATGGAAGCGGACATTCTAGAAGAGTGTGAACGGAGAGGAATGTTTTAGAACTGTGTAAATGGAAAAGAACATTTTAGAACTACATTCTAAAACAGTGTAAATAGAGGAGAACACCGCAGAACATCATGAATGAAGGAAAAGACTGTGGAACAGTGTGAACGGCAGAGCATTCTAGAACAGTGTGAACAAAGGACAACATTCTAGAACAGTGCGAGTGTAAGGGGATATGCTAGAACAGTGTGAATTGAGGAGAACACTGAAGAACGGTGTGAGAAGTGTAAACTAAAGAAACCAATCTAGAACAGTGTAAAGCAATCTTGAATAGTGTTAACTGAGGAAAGCATTCTAGAACAATGTGAATTGAGGAAAGCATTCTAGAACAATGTGAACTGAGAAAAGCCTTCTAGAACAGTGTGAACTGAGGAGAGAGCCTTCTAGAACAGTGTGAACTGAGAAAAGCCTTCTAGAACAGTGTGAACTGAGGAGAGAGCCTTCTAGAACAGTGTGAACTGAGGAGAGAGCCTTCTAGAACAGTGTGAACTGAGAAAAGCCTTCTAGAACAGTGTGAACTGAGGATAGAGCCTTCTAGAACAGTGTGAACTGAGAAAAGCCTTCTAGAACAGTGTGAACTGAGGAGAGAGCCTTCTAGAACAGTGTGAACTGAGGAAAAGCCTTCTAGAACAGTGTGAACTGAGGAGAGAGCCTTCTAGAACTTACTGAGTCAAAACTGTTCACAGTGGTGGTGATAGGAACCAGACGTCCACCTCTAAAAGCTCCCTCAGCATGAAATGGTTATGAATTCACTGCCTGATGACTGAGACTGTTTTATGATAGTTTTGAGAAGATTTTGACATTTTTTAAACGCATTCATGGTGGAGGGATACATGCAGGGCGTTGTGAGGCAAAATAGTCCCCAAAGAGAACTTATTATTTCAGATTTTCCACTATTTTCCATCATTAACATTCCATATAAACTCAGAAGACTCGTGTAGGTTCACTGGTGATTTTTGATAGTAAATAAAGTGGCTATATTTGTGCTGTAGACATGGAGACCCCTGGTTCCTATCAAGTCAAGTCAAGTCAAGTCAAGTCAAGTCAAGTCAAAGTTTATGTATAAAGCACTTTTTTCGCAGGCGCTGTCACAAAGCAGCTTCACAGAGCCGGGTCCGAGCCCACCTGGGCAAGCCAGTGGCAACAGTGGCAAGGGGGAAACTCCCTAAGAGCAAGAAGAGGAAGAAGCCCTGAGACCACCACAGAGAAACCTCTCTACAGTGAACCATTTCACTATGAATTACTTTTTTTGCATCTTTTGCGACTCAGTTTGCCTTTAAAGTGGGTGACTTAGAGGAGGAAGGACACTGAAATGTGCAGGAGGGGGGAACCTGCGCTCTGGGCTTGAGGGATATTAGGGCACTGAAACTCTTCTGCCCAAGAAGAACACAATGTACAACAGGCCAGCCTGGCTGATGAGGAACAGGCAATGACTTCACTTGGCAAAAACACCACCTTCCAATTAATGATCCAAGACAAGCTCCAACTACAATGACACATCCAGAACAGAAGGAAATCAGCAGTGAAACAGCAGCACCGTCCCATTATACCGCACTATACAGCACTACAGGGCGGGTTCTTGAAGTTTAATGGATGAACAAAGTCACAATAACAGCTGTGAGCATCACCAGTTTATATAATGTAAGTGAAGCTCCAACACAGAAGCAGTAAAGCTTAAAATACTGCATCTGCATCATGTTCAGTCCACAGTGCTCATTAATGTATCTGGCACCTTCAGTTTACATGAATACAAAGCAGTCACCTCAGAAAACCAGCACTAGTGCTGAAAAAAAAGGGCACCTTCACACTTTCCTTGGCTAAATTTAAGTTCCCTACATGGAAAAGCTTCCCAGCACCTTACCTTGCATTGCAATAAGACTTCCAAAGACCAAAATCCACAAGCATGACATCATTGTGGTCTGAGTGAAATGGATCTCACAGAAGCAGGAAAGCTGTCCAGGTTTTTTTTTTTTTTTCTCTGAATAATTCACTCTTTTCTGAAGAAGCTCAGCTTCCACGCAGTGAGTCTCCAACTTTTTCACGCAACCTTTTGTTGTAGAAACTTTCACAGGGTGGGCGCGCACGTGGGGCGTGTGCCAGCACGTGGCTCCGCCCCGCAGGCGTGACTGACATGCGTGTGAGCCAATCGCGCTGGAGAAGCCTTTCCTCCCCCTCCCTTTTCAAGCAGGCACAAAGAAGAGATGTGCGGATGCTGAAGGTGCGGTGGGAACGTCGAATCGGGTTACTGAGCCGATTCTTTCGAAGCGATTCAGTGAATCGAACGTTAGATTTGCCGATTCTTTTTCGTTTTTGACGATTATTCGAGTGGAAATCAAAGCAGAATACCAGTTTGAGGCCTCTGTTGGTTCCAGTTGGGACCAGTTGACTCATATCAGTAGAAAATTGAACTGTTTTTTTTTTTTCTTCTTTGGCCTGCAAAAAATAAAATCCAGTATAAACCAGAAAAAACAATTGACTTGAGTGGAAACATTTTACCAGTGTCTTACTGTGATCTGTCTGTATCTGGTAACTGGTGCTATTCGGGATTTTAACTGGAGCAAATGGCTGCTGGTTCTAGTGCTTAAAACTAATTACTAACAATTGACTAAAAAACCTCAATAACACTCACAGAAACGTTGAACAGGCTAAAAATTTAACCCACTTTTACAGGTTTTAATGGTCTTTTTGTCTTTATGTCTTCTGTGGTGGCTAAAACAAAACTACCCTGATAGCAAGAGGATAGTGGACCACTGTTGGCCCGCTGATGGCAAAGCTGGTGGTCCACTGGTGTTTTGCTCAGCGTTTTCAGGGCTGCCCACCGGTGGTAAAGTGGAGTATTTGACAAAATTCCACTTATTATTGCTTATTGTCCACTCACAGTCCAGTTTTCTTAATTTCCCTTCCTTCCTTTCTTTAGTTATACTTTGTAAATTTGTTCAGTAAATAATTTTAATCTAGCACGGTGTCAGCAACATTTTCTATAAAATCAAAAGGACAAAAGGACATTTATATTATTTTTTCTCTCTGTTGTTTGTAATATTTGTCTTATTTTCCAAATTAAAAGTCTCTGTGCATTTAAAATCTGTTTGAGGAGATTAAAGTAGGTAGAGCTTGCATGCAGGACAGTAATCTGGGTGGCCCGAGGGCAGACCAGCAGTGGCAAACAGTCAGCGGGGGGGCGACCTTATCAAGCCAGCGGACCGATATACGATGCTATCTGGGTAGCTAATTGCAGAAAGCTGTTTAATCAGTGCATATTATGGAAAAAAAAACATATGTTAGTTTTTTTTCCAATAAAAGAGTTGTTAAAGTTTCAAAACACACCGTTTAGTCCGTTTATGGAAATGGCGCTCCAAAAACATTAAAAAAACTCAATAATGCTCACAAAAATGTTGTATTGGCTAAAATTTCGACCAGTTTTATGGTCTCTTTGTCTTTATCTGCTTTTGTGGTGGCTAAAACAAAACTACTTAGCTAGACAGAAGTTTGTTTTGCTAGCTATCTAAGTTCAGAAAGCTGTTTAAAGAGTCATATTATTGGAAAAAAAACATTTTTTCTTATTTTTTCACAATAAAAGAGTTGTTAAAGTTTTAAATCATACTGTTGAGTCTGTGTATGGAAACCTAAAACAGCTTGGTGTGAATTGTTTTTTTGTGATGTCACGAAAGCCAAGACATTTACATATATCCACCTGTTTAGCCTACAGTAATTTAGTAAGGAGTGTTTCAGCTGGGGCTGCATTTTGAGCCAATCAGAACACTGATTTACATTGACTTAAAGACACAGTAACAAAGCCAGCCTGTTTAATTCTAAGATGTAAAGAGAGGAAGGAAAATAGTCATGTGAAAATGAATTGTGATTATTTTTGGTACATAAAACCACATAAATGTCACAAAATGGAACAAAATGTGGGATTTTAAAGCAGAATTATGTGAGAATTGGTATTTTTTGCTCTCCAGCTGCCCCCACAGTCGCAGCGTGTATTTCACTTTTGCACGTGCGTTCGTTGACGGGCTGAAGGACACAGAATCCCACTCCCCTTCATGCACGTGCGTCAGGCAGGCATATGGACTCGACAGAATACACCCGTGATTTCTATGTCCCTGTGTGTAAACAACCGAACCGCGAGTGTAATCTGTAGCGTCCATATGCCTGCGTGAATAGTGCACGAGAAGGGGAGTCGGGTTCTGCTGGAGAGTCGGAATTCAGCACAACACCGGCAGACACAACAGCAGAAGAGAAAGAACCACCTCGACCTACAAGGGTCGAGTAACATTACAGGATTTCATTACAGGACGTTGCACATTTTTAAGACTTATTTGGTGTGAGATGAATTTCTTTGCATGCGAGCCTGAAACGGGACTGAGGTCAGATGACCTTTGGCATCCGGAAAAACTACAAAACTCCATAAGAGAGGAATGACAAAGATAAGATAAACACTCTGCTTTTAGATTTTCATTGTTTTCCCATTCGTCGTGAGATTGCTGTATCCTTTTTTATCCCTTTTAGCTCTCGCCAACGAGTAAAAACAAGTCCTAGATTTAGGCCCAATCCCCATTTCATCCCTCACCCCTCTGAGCCCGTAGCCCTCCATTTTGTGCGTTCATATCTAGGGAACGGTGTCCTGATTCTTGTTGAGATAGAGGGGTAGGGTGAGGTGTTAGAGCTACATGACCCTCCGAACGGAGGTTTTTCAGAGACTCCAAACAGAGTGATATGAGAAAAAAAGAAAAACCGGCAAGACGGAGAACAAGAGACCAAAGAAACCCACAGATGTGAGAATTTTCTGTGTTAAATAGTTACAGCAAACATTGTTTTATCTTAGTTTAATGTCGTTTAATGTATTATGGTTCTTTTCTTCATAACAAGCATAAAAAATCACTAATAGTCTGCTGATGTCTCTCGCAGCCACTGCTATGATGTCCATGCTGGGAACACCTCGATTCCTCTTATAGCTAACCGAAGACCCATTTCTGTTGATGTGTGATGTGGTGCCGTAAAGCGTTGGGCAGTTCTTGTGAGAGGCCTTGTGCCGCTCCTCCAAAGTTACATAGTGCAATAGCAGGCGTTCTGGGCCTGGAATGGCAATGGCAGAGACACCATTCTCATTTCGTCTCTATTATAGCACCAAAATAATTTTGAAGTTGTTATTTTAAGGTAAAATGGTTACATAATGTAGCTTTAACTGTAACAAGCTATGGTAACATTGTAAAAATGAAATATTTCAAGTAAAATGAATTGCTATATGTTTTGGAAAGGCCTTCTGACAGAACAGTGGTTAGTAGGATTTAGCATTTCCATTTAATTCAGTTTGCCTCAACATTTGAATCAACGTATTGACTGAAAGAATCTCAGAGGTGCTCTCTGGCCAAAATGCATAATGTAACCATCGCTATGTCTGTTGAAAAGATGCCTACTCACCTCTTATAGTGGTGCTGAAGTAGTCTCACTAGTAAAATTACCCAGTTTAAAGCCTAAAGAAAGCATTACTGCTAAGAAGCCCAATATCATGACTGATTGTGTTTACATGCGCTTAAAATCTGATAACTGGAGAAAATCAGATGTTGTCAGTAATCCGATCAGTGCATTTACATGCACTTAGATAATGGGGAAACTCTGGGTCTACATGAGTCAGACAGTAATCAGATTTCTGCTGTACAACCAGCCAATAAACTCTCAGAAGAAGACGAGACGTAAACATAACGTAAAACTCAAACTTCATGCAGCAGCTTTTTAAAAATCATCGCGCCACTTTACCTGAAAATATGAACATCCATCATCTAGAAGATGAAGAATATTTAAATCCTTCATTTCGTCAAGCATGTATTTGGTTTCAGCGTCGCTCCAAAGTTGTTGGTCCAAAGCCTGCTTGCTTATTTCCGGTACCGCTGTCTGTTTTCGCACATGCTCAGACTGAGAAGCCTGAAAGAAATCAGAGTGAGTTCACATGCGCAGAGAAATCTGATTACTGAGCTAAAATCCAGCCTCTTTATCAGATTTCTTAATCAGATTTCTAGACTTTGATCTAAGAAATCAGATTGTGCTGTTTACATGACCATTCGAATAATCAGATATCTGCAGAAATCCAATTATGATCGGATTATTGAGTGCATGTAAACGCACTCTGTATTGATCATCCTGTAGATCAGTGCTTTACTTCATCACTATGGGGGGCGTTCCCAATGATTGTGTGATGTATTTGCGTAATACATGCTGGGAAATGTAGTGAGAGACGGACAAAAACACAGACGGGATACAAAATTGTGCATTTTGTCGATTCAGTGTCAAAATATTAATGATGAAATATTAACAAAAAACCTATTAAAAGCCAGTTTTAGACAGTAATCCCTTTCTCACGGTCAATGTCTGCTTATGTGCTTCACTATCTGTCACAGGTTTGAACTTGTTTGTTTTTCATGGATGGAAAAAACCTTTATATTCATTCATTCTTCTGAATCGATTCATTTGAGTTGCTTATAAGAGTCAATTAGTTCAAATAATAGTGTGGACAGTAATTTGCAATACGCACATCCGGAGCTGCAGAACTGCCCACGATGCATATTTGATAGTAAAACACGGTAAAAGAGACAAACAGTTAAATCCGATAGTACTTTCATAGCCTTTTCTCTCAGAAAGCTTAGAGCAGAGCAGGTTTAGAAGGAAAGTCCTTGCAAAATCTATGCTATACTCTAACATTGAAAGTGTCTTTGTATTATTGATAGGGCTTTATAAATAAAAGAAATGTATTATTAATCAGAGGATTTCTTTTTTAAAAAAAACGGCTGGTGCTGCGTGCGGGCGTATAGATGGCAGGGATTGTGTCCCGCAGGAATGCAGCCCAGAAGGATAGCTCAGGTTTCCGGTGACCTTTGACCTTTTCTTTTTCAATATGTAACTAGTGCACCTAAACAACAGCTCAGCGATGCTTTGTGTGCCTTTCAGACACTCAGGCGTTGGGGAAAGGCTCCCGCTGGGGAAGTCCCTTCTCAAACAGGTAAGGTAATGACTAAACCTGAGCGTGAACTGATGAGCCGGATCAGGTCTGCTGGAGCGGCACGTCGTCAGGCAC